ATCAACCACAAGTACGTGCGGTACTCCAAATATGTTCCATTCATGAAGATCCGACTTCATTGTAATGTCAAACTACAACATGTTAAACATAATATATGTGCACTGTGATTGATTACATTTCGAACTGCCAAAATAATTGAGAACAATAATATAATACGATAAACATAATAATTCTTTATAAAAACTAGACTAATATCAGAAATCTTTGATTTCTTAGTACGTCGTACTTTCCGCCGGTGTGTCGTAATCATAAGAGCCGATTAAGGGACCACACAGTACACACATTTTCCAGAGATCATGCTTCGGTCAGCCCCGCTTTCTGATAAACCTGACTTTTATGACCTAACTCCAACCTGCTTACCTGGCGATTATGACAAACCCTCATAAGTTGATGAGGCCTTATAGTCCATCAGTGAACTGGGTGAATGTGTCATATTGACTAATATTTACAAAACAGACAAACATTTTAAACATTCACCCCCTATAACATGGGACTCATAACATAATTAGTGAAATGTGGGTGTTACTTCTGTGTGCACCCCTGCCTACCCCTACGGGGATAAAAGGCGTGATGTTATGTTATGTTATAATTAAAGAACAATAAAATTAAATTCACTCAGAAATGTTTAGATACAAATTGGCTAGTATAAATCAGTCAGATAGTCATGAAGCCACGCCGAGCGCTTCCCGTCAGACAAGTATGACACGACGTCCGCATTCTACTGTCACGTATGTATATGTTGCAACACAATAAACGATTTCGAAATATTATATTCACGCTTGATCTCATTGGGGGAGGAGCTGCTTTGATTTGTTTTAACGTTACAGCTCAAAACTCCGGATATATTTTGCTAATACTATATGTCATGTCGATAGTTGAAGGGTGTGGTCAAAACAATTCCGAAAAACGAAACCGTGAAACACACTCCACCTAATAAGATACTAGCTTCTGTCAGCGGTTTCGTCCGTGTTCCCGTCGAATAAAACGTAGCCTATGTGTTTTTATTCAATATTTATAACTATAATCAACCCCTGTTCCAAATTACGTCCCGATACCTTCAGTTTTGACGTAAAGGTATACGTCAGACTGATAGGAAATGCCTGCGGCATTAAGTCCACCTACTTGTACATTTTGTGCATGAAGCATATTAAATAAATAAATAAATGGGTAACAAACAATAACTGTACACATTTTCGCATGTATATTATTAGTGAGATAGCATAAGTATCATAATAAAACGATAGATTCAAGGAATTTGTAATATCTGAACCTAAAAACACGCTGTTAATTGTATTTATGTCCTCATCAACAAAAGAAATAAGTCCCAACTCGACATGATCAGTAGTAGGTAGCTCAAAGTTCCATCAGCCATCTTCCAGTTCCATCATCAAACTGCACGATTGCTCCATGTTCAGTATGGTACTACAAGTAGATACATTGTAATTCAGATTCATAGGTTGTCTTAAAAAAGAAATTACAAGTAGATAAAAGTAACTGTACATGCATAAACGCGATAACTTTAAGCAATTATACAAAAACTATACAACAAATTATTCACGCCAGATACTTGAAAGAAAGTAAAATATCCGTAGGTACTGTATAACAATCAGAAAACAGAATAAACATGACAAATTATTAAGAACCTCATCTTGGTTTTGTAAATCAAATTCAATTTGAACGGTCATGAATTACAAATGTTACCTACAATTAATGGATTTACTTTGGCCACGGTACCGGCACAGAGTACGGATAACACAGAAGTTCCAAACTTTTACTATCTTAAAAATCATAATACGATTTATCTCGCTATGAATGAGATGAGAGGAAGTCTAATGGTCGTTTTCACCTGCCACCCCTAAACCAACACTTAATTAATTAAGAGTTACTAAGCGGAGCACCACCAAACCATATCTTAACTCGTTGAGTACCGTCATTATAGACACAATTAAAAAACAATAGGTTGCGGTCACCAGTGACCGCTCGGTGTTTGACAGTTTAATTAATAGTCACATAATGTAAGGCACCACTAAACCACCTCTTAATCAAGCTCCTAAACTAACTCATTATGGTATCACCTATCACCTCTTTTCAATAGCTGCTTCTTACGAATCTACATATATTATGCTGGAAAGACCACCTTGTTTTACTAAAAGACCATTAGAGAAATATACAGAATATTACGCGTTTATTAAAAAAAATTCAGTCTGCTCTTATGGAAATAAATACAGAATATAATCGACATGAGACTACCGGACCTTTTGCACTATGCCCTTCAGTTTGTATGGAGCCACAAATGTAAGAAGCGCGGCGCGGCTCCTCGCGCAACACGATGTCGTCATTGTATCAAATGAATTCAATTTATCCAAACCATGATTACTGTTTGCAATATAATTCGATTTATTTCATTGTATAATTGAGGACTGATTCAATGTTCACTCACGGCGATATACTACAATTATTAATTCATTTTACTTTGGCTACGTTAGGCTAAGAACTTTGTATTGTTCTATCTCAAACTCCAACTCACTATCGATAGTCATAAATAGGCAATACGAGAAGTATAAGGAAAATTCAACAACTTTGTGTGTAAGAAACTGTTTACAATAAATCATATTTTTTATGGAAATTACCTCAAAGGCGGAACCAAATGTGCTTATATAACATAAATGCAACACCTATTTCGGCCAGTTGTGTCTGGCCTCTGTAATAGGGAGCCAGAAACCATACACCGGGCCCATATCCACAGCAGATTCAACACGTGTTCATCACTGATTCTGTATTCCATCCGTTGATCCGTATGCTAGTTTGCCTTCTATTCCAAACATCTTAAAAGTGTTGTGAGCTCTAAAAACTGAGTAATATCTAACATAAACCCAAAATACCGTTGTGTACATCCATCATGTGTAGTCCATCTAGAAATTTCAATTCATATACACACCAAACTCAGACTCAGAAGAAATAAACAAAGAGTTGTTCCGTGTGAGAAAGGTGCCCCGCAATTTGTAGCACAACGAACCAAACGTGTAATGTACCCCAATCTATCTTGTTTACGCGTGAAGTACTTAACTAACAAAGCAGAGTAGTTTTATAAATACTATAATATTTAATCATCTCTGATTAATTTCCAATTAATTGACAAAATGAGGCGTGTACCTGGCTGTTGGCAGACGATGGGACGTGAGTATGTGAGTGACAGATGGACGGACGCCAATAACGCAGCTCATCTTGTGACCAGCACAGGTAAACACTGTGATTGTATGATACATCACACTTTAACGTGGTGATGCGGAAAATGGGTACATCATCATCACATTTCCTTTCTTAGTTTTAAACGCCGTAGGTACTGCAAGTCCCTATAGAACTATACCTGTTCCGTATGTCTTGGATGCTAGTAAACTCACTTAAAGGTCCGAAGGTAATAAATCTATATCAATGTCTATACAAAATCTTTGAATTTACTCGATTTTTTATTTTAATCCTACTTTAAAATTGGTCATTTTCTAGCCCCTACGACTAACGAATGATAATACTAAAATATTGGATAGCATTTAAAAAAAAATAATAAGTACTTAATCTAATCTTTAACACAAGTATAAACATCTTAAAAGTCTCATTCAAAATGAATAGAGTGATTCTCCGGACCACACTCATAACTTCATCACCAGTTAAAATGTTTACGAAGTGAAGAAGTGTAAGGACGACGCAGTGGGCAGGAGTCAGTTATATTTTCATTACCGTTATTATAAATTTTGCGATGGAAGTTCAAACGAAGTAATTGAAGTAAACTATATTTATAGGAATGTTATAGTAATGGTCGAGAGCTATGGCTGGTTTGATTACCAGCTAACTGGGGCGCCATCACATTCACACGGCACGTCTTACTCTCATTACTTGGATCCTGCGAGTTGATTGGCTACAGGTCCACTATGTCCTCCATCAGGGACAATTGTTTAAACGTGACGCCGATAGATAGATACACAACATGTGCTTCCGATTCAATTATTTATTAAATTGTATGTATATGTATATGTATGTACGTTTACCAGTGCTTTATTTAGATTTTACAAAACTGTTGATACGTACCAATAAACGAATACATAGTGACTGCCTTATCAGAAACAATACAATGTGTTACTTTCAATGTGTTCATCATTCAGTTAATCGCAAGCAGTTTTTACTGGATGTTGTAACCTTCACCTCGTGTTGGGTACACTGCTCCGTGCCACAAATGTTGGGTTTTTCCTATTGTTGTAGCTCCCATCTGATTATGTTTTTAAATGAAATGCCCATGGAATAGGGACTTCCCTAAATTCGAAGCTAACTAATATTATAGTTATGATGCAGTGTTATTCTAACGTAGTTGTGTTGAGTGATTATGTGTTACTTGTGTACGAGCAGACGGATCACCTGATGGTAAGCAATCGGCGTCGTCACCAGAGGCGTTACAAGTGCGTTACCGGCTTTTGGGGATTCAGGAATTGGGGATATTGTGGAAGTGGAGGGTAATTGGGACTCCGGTAACCTCACTCACACGACGAAACACAACGTGGTATCATGCCGAGGCATGGCTCTCCCACATTTTAACTACTTCCAATCGTTAACTTCAGCAGATGTTGTAAATGTGATTCATTGGATTTTAATGGATTTTAATTCAAGAAGAGTATTGTCAGGGAATTCACACAAGGAGCCTCCGTTATATTACTATCAGGGTGAACCTTGTAGACTGAAAAGAACCGACTTAAAAAATCATGTTATACAATATCGATGCACAAAAGTCTGTTGTCACACGCATGTGTTAGGGAAAAAGTATACTACGATTTATGTAGGTGCCTATCCAAGTTCCAAATGTCGAAAATTTTACTTAAAAACTTATTTATGTGCTGTGCAGTAACTCCGTTGTGAATAATGTGCAAATTGTTGTATGTTTTGTATATAAACATGTGTTATCTTGAGTTCAAGATATTCCCGCTTCTACAGCCAACAGATACAGTGCGCAAAAATGTTAAAAATATATTTAATTTGTTTGTCTTACTTGTTCATGTTAAACTTGGGTAAGATAATTTTACTTTTATTTGAAAGGATAGTAAGTTTGTTCATATTGCCTGAGACCACACTCCAAGAGTATGTGATGGGCGTTGGCAACATTGGCATCATCAACAATTTAAAATGAAGTCGGTTGATAAGAGCAATTTGCTTTTAATTGTCATATAGAGTAAGAAATTGGGCAACACAGTGATCCACTTCTAACCGTGTCCTGTTCAGCCACTCATGCACGGATGGGAGGAACTGATAAAGTTGGCGGCCCTTGATAGAAGATTACATCTACACTGTCATGCAGTAACAAGTCGTATACCGTATGACATATTTACTTACGCTTACTTTGTATTGTTTCCAAAGAAAAAAACGCCCTGCCAGAGCCGTGCTTCTTAGGTGCGTGAAGACCTTTACGTGATAATTTTATTTAATACTGGCTGAACCGGAAAACTTTGAATCACCTAAAAATTACGAACATTAATTAAAGACCAAAATCAGTTCAGCCGTTCTCGAGTTTTACCGAGACTAACGAACGGACATTCATTTCTATTTATATAGATTTATTAGACTTATTGTAGATAAGGCAGTAAGATTTTATATGCATATTACATATGAAGATATATATAAACAAACATAGGTAAACTTTAATATTACAATGTACCATTTGGTGAAAGCTCTATATTAAATGTGTTTGTACGTGAATAAATTACAGGGAGTGCACAATGTGACCCTCAGTACTGGTTCAACATGGATGTGAATGGTTGGCTTAAAGTGCACACGATACCCGCCACATGGGAGGAAGCATTCCTTCGATGCCACTATGAAGGTAACACTAACACCAAACTCAATAATATAGTTTTTGAAAGTCCTTGTTGGTGAACACGAGAAATTCGAATATTTTAAAACTAACGTCTTTAGATGGTAGTAAGGAATATAGAGGTAGTTTTATGGCTCCTCACATGGCGCTGATAAAGCTTAAGATCCTGTTTATCCAATAGATAGTGGCTAAGTTAAATAATACTGACATCTGAATACCAAAATGCTTCCCAATGTTTACTTATACCTAAATATCGTGCTATCTCTGTCATTTTTCAAGTATTTGTAAGAGACAGAAATATTTTTGAGAACGTCTTAGAATTGAGTGGTGGAATTGGATTTTGTTTGCGTTCTCCAGAGAGAAGGAAAATATAATGAATATCGTACAATAACATTATGGTGACCCGGAGGTTAACTACTATCCAAAGAGCGTTATGCGTTACACCTAAACGATACCTATATTTCAGACGACTGATAAGTGAAACCTAAATAAAAGATAAACAGGTTCATAGTGACGTCACAATAAATATGAAAGTCATTAACTACATACATAAACATAACATCACGCCTTTTATTCCCGAAGGGGTAGGCAGAGGTGCACATTACGGCAATTAATGCCACTGTACAATGTAACCCAATTTTCACTATTTATGTTATGACTCCCATGTAATAGGGGGTGAGCCTATTGCCATATATCGGGCACATTTCCAGACGTGCTACTACTGAGGTTTTTACAAACCCAGTAATACTGTGCCTGACCCGGGAATCGAACCCGAGACCCCTTGCCCGGCAGTCGCACTTGCGACCACTCGGCTAACGAGGCAGTCATTAACTATACTATTTATAATTATATATATGTGTATGGGGTAGACAGAAGTGTAGCAACAATTTTAATGTACTGAATTTTATTAAGGACATTCAATTAAAGTTCAATATTTTTATGATACATATTTTATAATAAACACTCCTCCAAGCAAACATCGGTCGGTTCAGTAGCCAACTAATTGTCACTGTCTCTGTACTGAGTCAACCTATATTTGCGTACCTGCACAGCAAATAACTCGAGGGACCGCACACGCATCAGGCTACAGTACTTCGATGGTACTCAGATCAGAAGATTTGCATGAACAAATAAACATATATAACTCTGTTCAGTTCAGATGGATGCCACCATGTTACTCTATGTTATGTTCCAGGTGCTGTGCTTGCGTCCCCGTTGACTAAACAACTGAGTAAAGCTCTTGAAAACAAGTTTTCAGTTATCAGTCAGCAATCAATCCACTTAGGGACACACGATTTGTACTCTAATGGCGACTACTTTTCAGTAGAAGGTAAATCTATTTGTATTTATATATTAAACCTTTGTTTCAGGACCCATATAGAGTACTAGCGGACCCAACAGACGTTGTCCTGCATATCCACTTGAATGTATAAACAAAAATTCATTCAAATTAGTTCAGCTCTTTAGGATAAATAACCTAAACATCGACTGCAGCGCCATCTGCCGGGCTGATTTGTGAATCTAAACCATTCCCAGATCCCCTTGAATACACACAACAAATTTCATCAAAATCGGTCCAGTCGTTTGAGAGAAGTTCAGTGACATACACACTCACAGAAGAATTATACATATATATAAAGATTATACATATGTATAGAATATTCTAAAGGTTTCCTTAACCGACGAGCATGCATGAAAAGATTGATGACTGTTGATGAAGCGAAAGAGGTATGTAGGAATCGTAGTAATTGGCGTTCCCTAGTCTCTGCCTACCCCCATGGGAGACAGGCATGAAGTTATGTAATACATAACTTCATGTAATACATACATATGTATGTATTCTAAAGGTATCGCATAAAAACGCGTAGAAATGCTCACAAGTCTTATGAAGTCCTGGTTGGGATTACTAGAGGACATCAAGGATCAAATGGTAGTGCAAGTATCGTGTACCCCATTAGATTCGGGCATAGAAAATAGATTTATTGAAATTCAGCTGACCATATCAATATTGCAAGTCAACCTGGAAAATACATTATTATTTATGTATTTACTTAGTTAAAAAGCTTTATGCACACATACAAGCACATGGGTAGACTTAATGCCGCAGGCATTTTCTACCAGTCTGACTCTTGGGTGATGCAGAGAAAATATTTTTTTAATATAGTATGAATATAATGATGAATTAATGGTATATCGGCTCGGTCTTTTACAGGCGTGATGAGACCATAAGGGTATTGGATACAGCTGTACCTACCTAGTACTTGATTCCAACTTTTGTTTTCAGGAATTCCATTGGACAGCTTGGTGCTGAAATGGAGTAATTTGAGAGGTACGGGCGACTGCCTGGCGATGTCACGCGACGGGCGAGCGTTTATCACGAAATGCGTGGAACCTCGACCCTACATCTGCTACAAGAAGCTGGACAATCTGACGATGAACATCTGTGGAACATTTGATGATGGTAACTGGGTGTATATAAATATCTTACATATTACAATAGTTGATGAAGTCCAACGTTTTGTTTGTTTAACTTTCCAGCATATCAATTTAATGAGAACACTGGCAGCTGCTATAAGAGACACGATGAGTATCGGACTTGGACCGACGCGTTCAAGATATGTGCTGCCGAGGGAGGTTACCTGCTTATCCTGAATGATGCCACAGAGGCTGCCATCGTCAGGGAAATGTTCCCTGTACGGACAGGAAATGTCAACGAATGGGAGAACTTCCACGTGGGGCTGCGGGCTTGGGGACCTGAACGTACTTGGATCACTATCCATGGTATGAACTCTTCATTCATCTATTTATGCTTTGTTTCAGTTTGTTAACATTTTTAAAATAGTATGCGATATATGAAGTTCGTAATAAGAGCTATACATCTAGACGTCACGGTATAGTCTGTATGGTGTATGTATGTTGAATTGTGATCATGTCTTCATCGTACGTACTATATTTAACTATAGCGTGTCTACACTGCTCTTCCTCTCTTGCTGCTGCAATGGTCCTGCACAAGGGGTTGTGAACGGTTCCGTAATTTTCTAATATATGCATTCTTTTCATGAACAGGAGAAAGAGTTGAAGATGTGTTCCATGATTGGAACCCAGGACAGCCGGATAACCAACGAGGAGAACAGAACGTTGGCGCTTTCCTTAGACTTGGCACTTTGAACGATCACTCCGTAGATTCCAAATCTATGTTCGTTTGTGAGAAGGATCCGAAAGTAAAACGCTTCGAAGAACTACCCGAAGGTTTGGCAGATATTTTAGGACAGTAAGCCGCTAGTCAGAAATTGTTCTAATACTTCTCTATAACAAAAAAGCTTTAATTTTTGCAAAATTTAATAAATTGTAAACATTCTTTAATTGTATTGTTTTATTTGTGGTTTCGTGAGTTGTTCTGACTGAGATGCAAAGTCTGTGGAATGTAGTCTACACTTCGGCAAACGTACACCATTTTTTTTACGTGGGAGAATAATAAATCATCCCTTACAAAGTGGCTGGCAGTAGTAGGAAACGAAGAGCTGGAAGATTGAGCTCCGTGTGACAGCAGTAGGCTGAACACGAATGTATACTGTACTGTTGGTAGATTCCACAAAATTGTAACCAATTTGAGCCAACGTTTGATTGTTCAAGTTGTCGCGTCAATCTCGCACGGAACTATTACCTGTGTCTATGTATAAAGACTGAAACGAATAAATTATAAAAACAATAAAAGTGATTAAATTGCTGTCTGTAGTTCTTTACAAGTAGATACACTTTATTTCTGTTATTATAAAAACATAGTACTGGAGTTGATGCGCACATGAACCAAACAGATGTGGAAGCTGGGTAAAAACCATTTAGGTATTGTTAATCATTAAGTTTGTACACACATCGAGGTATAAACACCATTTTACTATAGCCTCGATTTGTATAATTTTTAAGCACATTCCACAGTCAGCTTGTACTGGTTTTGCGTAGCTTGATATGTCACCGTGAGGGTTTACATATATACCTTGTGGTGTTTCAGAATGAAGACATTACGCCTTGGTCAGTGAATCGATGTAGTACACAATAATGTTGAAGATATATCTAATTTGTTTGTTGTGCTTGTTCGTGTTAAACTTGGGTAAGAACATTTTTCTTCGTGTGTACTTTTGTTGATAGAAATATTTCTATGTTTAAGTGAACAGGGCGAGTTATATTCTAAAAGAGCTGATTATATTATTCTTCATAAGCGCATACGCTTTGGAACCAGTTACAATTTTGTGACATACAGATTGACCCTCTTAATTATGATATTTACACAGTTTTGGAGGTTTAATATATGCATATGTGTACTTATATTTTCTTATTATCTGTATTTAATCTTTCTTGTAATTTTAAGATTATTTTATTTCATTCGTAGATGACATTAATTTCGTTAGTAAGTTATAATATTGAAATGTATTTATTTATTGGACTGCCTTGTTGGCCTAGTGGTCGCAGGTGCGACTGCTAGGCAAGGAATCTCGGGTTCGATTCCCGGGTCGGGCAAAGTATTACTGGGTTTTAAAAAACAAATCTCAGTAGTAGCACGGAGTTTAGAATTGTGCCCGGTATATGAGTATTAACTCATTATTCATCGTACTAGCCTATTAAGGCTCACCCCCTATTACATGGGACAGTGACATTAACTGCCGTATGTGCAGCTCTGAGCTCTGCCTACTTCTTCAGGGATAAAAGGCGTGATGTTATGTTATTGTGTTATGTTTAATTTACAGGAAGTTTCATTATATACTATGTGACATAGTATATCCTCGATCTGATTACAGAACATGCACAATGTAAACCCGACTACTTGTTCAATGCAAACGCAAATGGTTGGCTCAAAGTGCACACAATACCCGCCACATGGGAGGAAGCATTCCTTCGATGTCACTATGAAGGTAAGTACAACGCCAATACTTCACACCCTGGAATCTAACTCCGCGTATTCAGGCTCGCCTTGGAAACTTGACTGCGCATCTTTGTTGTTTTAATCCTCAAATTATCCTATTCCTCAAAAACCCGGTAACGCACTTGTAACACCTCTGTGCCTTTAGCCAAACGCCACTTTAGCGCTTGTCTACAGAGAGAGTAGAAAACTAAATGTATGGGGATGACACTGACAATTTGGTTTTCTATTCTACATGTAGACAAGCGCTAAATGGCATTTGGCTACAGCTGCTGATTTTCCAGGTGTCCATGGGCGACGCCGATTACTTACCAACAAGTAACCCGTCTGCTCGTTTACTAGCCTATTCCATAAAACATGTTTTTTCTTACGTAGGAACCTTCCCGTAACAGTAACAAGCTCAATATAAAAAAGAATTAGCGAGATGGGATCTACATAAACTATCTACAACGCATTTGTCATATTTCTGCTGTTGTACACTATTATGGCCGTTTTCACCTAACACCACTAAATCACCACTTAACTTAAAAGTTACTTAGGGAGCACTTACACTAACCCTTTATTTATAATGTTAGTATAGGTTAGTGAAAATCAAAATGTCGATAAGTTTACGTTTACAATTTTAGCTTAGGTGTTCCTTAAAAGAGACGTTTTGGTGAAACAGAGATAAGACTAAGGTGTCTGCTTACTATCAGTTGAACATTAAGCTTTGATGGTTACTAATCCGACTACTATTATGAATACGAAAGTGTATGTTTGTTTGTCACCCCTTCACGACATTGAAGGGATCAGAATGAAATTTGGAACAGGAGTAGATTAGGTATTTTTTATGACATAAGCCGGTAAACGAGCAGACGGATCACCTGATGGTAAGCAATCAGCGTCACCCATGGACAGCTGGAACACCAGAGGCGTTACAAGTGCGTTACCGGCCTTTTGGGGATTAGGAGTTTGAGGATCGTTGAGGATTCAGGAATTGGGGAGATTGGGGAAGGGGAGGGTAATTGGGCCTCCGGTAACCTCACTCACACGACGAAACACAACGCAAGCGTTGCTTACGTCGGATTTCTGTAAAGCTGTGGTTTGAAATAACACTTACTTACGCGGGCGAAACCGCTGGCAGAAGTTTATAGTAGTATATAAATAGTTGAATTATTTCACAAGTTATCAGGCCCTTGAGTTTTATTACAGTTGAGTTGTGAAGTTGTATTATGCTTTATATTCCAGGCGCTGTGCTCGCGTCCCCACTGACTAAGGAAATGGGGAAGGCCCTATTGGAGAAGACCTTAAGAGTTGACCTGGACCAAACCATCCACTTGGGGACACACGATTTGAATTCTAAAGGAGACTATTTTTCTGTGGAAGGTTATATGTTAGACTTGTTTTACTTATGTACTGTACTTATTCGTCAAGTACACAACCGCTCAAGAACGTTTAAATTAGTTCGACTTGCGACTATAATATAAATCTCCTTCCGATCGATATCTCGACACAGTAGGCAGTCTATCTAGACAAGCCCACTTCGCAGGAGGTTTATAGTGCACAAGTGTGTGCGCAAACACTAGTGCACTCTCTGTTCCCTCACTCTCTGAACACGATGGGACGGCAGACCGACACAGACATAAGGCCCACGACCAACGGCTTTACGTCTTTTCCGAGGCACAGGGATAAAACAATGTTGACATTCCTGACTCCGGGCTAATATATTTTGATTCAGAAAATGACATTAACATTTTTTGGCCCGCATGGGAATGGGAATCGAACCCACGACATGTTGCACAGCAGCCGGTCACTTAACCACTGCACCAAACATGCATTTAATAATAATAGAAAAACAATGTCATTACTGTTAAGTGCATCAATACTCACAGTAGTTAATAATACTTATTTATTTATTACTTACAGAAGTCGAAGTAATACTTATCTATATAAAAGAAGAAAATCACGAACGGGGACGGGAAAAATGGGATTACGCGTACGAAGTCGCGGGCAGAAGCTAGTTATTGATATTTCTGTGCTTATACTGTATGATAATTAAAATGATATACGACTGACTAGCTGCCGGTCTGTTTTACTTGCAAAGCGATCATCTGGCCGACGTATGTTCTTGTTGTATGTAGTATACAGGATGTCCCTGAAGTCGACGATCAAATGGCACCAGGAGATTGTTGAAAATTCCTACATTTCTCATAAAAATGTAAAAAAAAAATTAAGTCAGATGGTTTTTAAATTACAATGACTTATGTCTTATCCACAAAAAAGTACACCCTGTGTCTTTTGACTCTTGTTGCTACAATTCTTGAATTTTTCGTCTGTAATTTTCTTTACGTTATCCTAAATAGTGCTTCAGTATTATGGAATCATGAAAGAGCCAACTGCTTTAGTTTGCAAAGAATATAGTATTTTGACGAACCTAGTGTTCATGCATAAGGGCATGCAGAGGGGCACATATGACAATGTTTGTCCTCTACCTGGATGTTGCGAGACCCATGTAACTGTCACAATAAATGTATAACTATTATCTGCAGGAGTGCCGTTGGACAGTTTGGTTCTGAGTTGGAGCAAGGTCAAGGGTACTGGCGACTGCCTCGCCATGACACGGGATGGTCTCGCAATGTTGACGAAGTGCACTGAACCTCGGCCCTACATCTGCTACAAGAAGCTGGACAATCTGACGATGAACATCTGTGGAACATTTGATGACGGTAAGTCCAAACATTTGATAAAGGAAAGGATTACAACTGGTGAACAACGGATCAACTTAGATTGTCCATTTTGATCCATTTTCTTGTTTAGTTCTCAACAGTCAGTTGTTCCAAAACTTATACAAACTCCTCATTCTAGAATCCAATATTTATTATGCACTGTTGGCGCAGTAACTGGGTACTCGGTTGCTTTGCAATAAATTATGTATGATCCACATGATGATCATCATTCTAATTCTAATATTTTATCTCTAGCGTATCAATTTAACGAGAAGACTGGCAGCTGCTATAAGACACACCTCCAGAAAAAGACATGGTCTGACGCGTTCAAGATGTGTGCTGCTGAGGGAGGTTACTTGCTTATCCTAAACGACGCCACAGAGGCTGCCATCGTCAAGGAAATGTTCCCCAAACGGACAGGAAAAGACACCGACTATGACAGATTCCACGTGGGGCTGCAGGCTTGGGGACCTGAACGTACTTGGATCACTATCCACGGTAAGTTTTATAAAACATTATTTACTAAATCATATATGTATTTCATTATAACCACCTAATATTGATTTTTTTCTTGTAAATTGTATGATTTTTTCTTCTTAAAACCACCACAAAATAACCTTACACAGATTTCTTATTTTACTTTATGTTTGAGTATTACTAAAATCTGACAATTGTGTGTATTGACAGGTGAGAGAATAGAAAACGTGTTCATGAATTGGCACCCAGGTCAGCCGGATAACTTCCAGGGTGTGCAAGATAGAGGGGCTTTTATGAGAATGGGCAGTTTCGACGACCACGCTATAAACGCCATGGCTATGTTTGTATGTGAGAAAGACCCCAATGTGAAACGCTTCGAAGAGTTACCCGGACAACTGGCCGTTTCAGAACAGTTTTAAGGTGTTTTGCTACCAATGTTGCTGTTGAACGGAACTTCTTTAATTATTTTTGATCACTGTTTGAACATTTTTTACAAACTTTTGTATTAAGTACTTACTTGTATTATACCCAAAACAAATGTGATTTAAATTAAATGATTAATATTTGCAACTGTATGTATTTTATTTTATTATGTTTTTTTTTTCGGACGTGGTGGCCCGGAGGCTTAAGACGGCCGCTTCGAAACCTAACAATGGCAAGTACCAATGTAACTTTTCCCGAGTTATATGTACTTTCTAAGATTATTTACAATTTACAAGTTCACATACACATCACACTCAAACACCGAATCAATAATTTGTGGATCACACAAAGAGTTGTTCCGTGCAGGAATGGAACACGTTGCGCAGCAGCCGGTTGGTGGCCCTGTTGGTGGCACCAACCATGTAGTCTTAGCTTAAGATTTAGAATTAGATCTTAGTTTTAGACGAATGGAGTACATAACAAACGCAGCATCATCAGATGCCTACACCAGCAGTGTGCAGCATGCTCTCAGCGTCCTGACCACTCTGCATATCACCAGCTACATGTGGATGCCAGAAACCTACTACATCGGTTCCCTTACTAACGCATAATGTCTTCATTCTGAAACACCACATATAGTTGAGTAATTTGATTGTTCTCGAATGTTTTCCGGGAGTTTTGAATGTCAGCAATTGTAGATTTTGATGTCTCTCTCTGATGGCTCTTTTCGATTTCAATTTTGCACCTTTGTACGTGCACTGCTCACGCCGCCATCTTGGAAAACTGGTCTGTCATTGTTGGTTGTGCCATTTTACGAGAAAACCGTTAACTACGAAATTAAACTACTCACAATTTTACACAATTTATGTCTAGTTTTTTTGTAACATAAGTAGCTTTAGCACCAGAGCACTACAGAGTACATGTTTATGAGCATTTTGGAAAAAATAAAAATATATATAAAATGAATACACTACTAACTTAAAATATAAGTAACTAAAAACTAAAATATTTACACCTTAAAAAAGTAATCTATAAAAATGCTATCTTATGGCATCAAAAAAAAAACATTTTTATGAGCATTTTGCAAATTTCCTCGTCATCAAGTGACGAGTAGTGTAGAAAACGACGCGTTTGTTTTTATACTGTAGTCTTCTATAGGTCAAATGCTCATTGTCATTGTGGTACACACTTAAGGGACTTTCCGTCATCTCCTGCCCTTAGCTGTTGCTGATGTACCCCATATTGAAGATTTCGTCTTGGGCACCTATCGATGTCAAAGTCCTTATTTTAAAACGCAAATGCTTGCAATGAATCTGAAGAAGTGCATTGCAAATAATCCGGATGAAATTTTAATCTGGGACTTCTCGACCGGTACCCAAGGATCCATTAACTTGGTGAATAACATTCCTAAATTATTTTTCTAAGCTTATACATGTTTGATGCATGTGTGCATCAACTTTCCTACTATCACGACCTGAACCAGACCCGAGCGTGCGGCGGGTCGCGTTCCGCGCGCACATCAAAGAGCCATCAGACCACCACAAATGGCGCCCAATAGAAAACTTAACGGGTTACTAGGGCTCCGGCTCGAAGTGCAGGAGTAGAAACGGGGTGGTTTTTCGTCAGTAGGAGTCTAACACTCCTTTCCGTCTCACCCAGACGGGAGAAGCCATTCGATGATTTTCCCCCTTAAAAAAAACTCTCCTACTAGGTTTTTATAATAACAGAAATAAAATGTATCTTGTGAACAAACTTGTGTAATCACTTTCATTGCTTTTGTATTATCATTCCAGATTACTTTTCACACCTTTTGGTTTTCTGTCAGAATAACACGGGGACCATAAAAAGGAACAACACAATAAATAAATGTTTACAATTTATTAAATTTTGCAATCAATTAAAGCTTTTTTGTTACATTTGACTAGCGGCTTACTGTCCTAAAATTTCTGCCAAACCTTCGGGTAACTCTTCGAAGCGTTTTACTTTCGGATCCTTCTCACAAACGAACATAGATTTGTTATCTACGGAGTGATCATCTAAAGTACCAAGTCTAAGTAAAGCGCCAACGTTCTGCACTCCCTGGTAGTTATCAGGCTGTCCTGGGTTCCAATCATGGAACACGTCTTCTATTCTCTCTCCTGTTCATGAAAAGAATGCATATATTAGAAAATTAGGCAGCACCCTTGTGCAGGACCATTGCAGCAGCAAGAGATGGGAAGAGCAGTGTAGACACGCTATAGTTAAATATAGTACGTACGATTTAGACCTGATCACAATTCAACATACATACACCATACAGACTATACCGTGACGTCTAGATGTATAGCTCTTATTACGAACTTCATATATCGCATACTATTTTAAAAATGTTAAAAAACTGACACAAAGGATAAATAGATGAATGAAGAGTTCATACCATGGATAGTGATCCAAGTACGTTCAGGTCCCCAAGCCCGCAGCCCCAAGTGGAAATTCTCCCATTCGTTGACATTTCCTGTCCGTACAGGGAACATTTCCCTGACCATGGCAGCTTCGGTGGCATCATTCAGGATAAGCAGGTAACCTCCCTCGGCAGCACATATCTTGAAGGCGTCGGTCCAAGTCCGATACTCGTCGTGTCTCTTATAGCAGCTGCCAGTCTTATCATAGAATTGATATGCTGGAAAGTTAAACAAACTAAATGTTGGACTCCATTCACTATAGTAAAGTCAAAGTCAAAGCAACACGTTAATGTAAGGTCTATTAGTACAGGTGTACTACGTTACCGTCATCAAATGTTCCACAGATGTTCATCGTCAGATTGTCCAGCTTCTTGTAACAGATGTAGGGTCGAGGTTCCACGCATTTCGTGATAATCGCTCGGCCGTCGCGTGACATCGCCAGGCAGTCGCCCGTACCTCTGTAATTACTCCATTTCAGCACCAAGTTGTCCAATGGAATTCCTGCAAACAAAAAAATATAATTTTGTGGTGGATTTTGTTAAAAAGTTTGAATATATTATTATTTAATTCTTTATTATTATTATTATTTAGTACTAGGTAGGTATGCTGTTTCTAATACACTTATGGTCTTATCACGTCTGTAAAAGACAGAGCCGATATGTTTTATATTCTGTATTAAAAACATAATAATATTTTTTCCAGGTTGATTTGCAATAATAATATGATCAGCCGTATTTCAACGAATCATACTATGAATTTCATATGACTTAATGAGGTGCACTATACTTGAACTGGCACTTCATAAAAATCCTTAATTGTCTAGTAATCGCAACCATGAATTCAAAAGGAATTAGTGCATTTCTATACATCTTTATGCAATAGGTACCTCTGAAGCTAAGGACTTACGGCGCGATTTTCTCCCGCGCCCGCCGCGGTTGCGGCCCGCAGCCTTTATAGAATATAGATATGTATGTAAAAAATCAAAGCAATTTTCACAGTGCGTTTTACGCAGCGGTTCCGTGTTGCACCGGCGCGGTCTGCGATCGGTTGGCGGACGATCGCAATAGGACGGCCGGTCTGGAATTCAACTGATTTTTTCATCGCCCACCCGTTTTGCGATAATCAACCCCAAGTTTGCGGTCTCATGGGTATTGAAAATAAAGCCGCAACCGCGGCGAGCACGTCGTGAGTCCATAGCCTAAATGTTCTATACATATATGGGTCCTGAAACAAAGGTTTAATGTAATTACAAATAGATTTACCTTCTACTGAAAAGAAGTCGCCATTAGAGTATAAATCGTGTGTCCCTAAGTGGATTGATTGCTGACTGATAACTGAAAACTTGTTTTCAAGAGCTTTACTCAGTTGTTGAGTCAACGGGGACGCAAGCACAGCACCTGGAACAGAACATAGAGATTACTCTATGTATGTAATATGGTGACATTCATCTGAATTGAACAGAGTTATCAATCAATAATAATGTTTATTCGTTTATACAATATTCAACAATATTCAGGGGATCAGGGTAACATCGAAGTACTGTAGTCTGATATGTTCCATGTGCGGTTCCTCGAGTTATTTGCTGTGCAGGTACGCAAATATAGGTTGACTCAGTACAGAGACAGTGACAATTAGTTGGCTACTGAGCCGACCGATGTTTGCTTAGGTTCCTGTTTCGCAGGAAACGCCCGGAGGACACGGTAGAGTATACGATTGCGGTGTGCCCCGCCTGGGCTGGGCCCCGCCGTGTCCTCAGGGATGTGATCGGCGACGGCGACCTCTCGCGTCCGGCTCTGGTTCAGGCCATGGTGCGGAGCGAGGGGGACCGGGATGTCGTCTCCTCCTTTTGCGAAGCAGTCAAGCTAGCTAAAGAGGAGGTGGGGCGCGTGAGGAAACAAAAGTTCTCATGCCCCAGCCGTCGCGGGAGACACTCCGGACGTCCGGGCGAGATCGCCTGACGATTTCCGGCCTCCGACGGTGAGCAAGAGTAGCTCGCCACCCGACCATAACCAAAACCGTGTTTACGGCGCGTCACGATCCGCGCGCGCCTCAAAGGGCCATCAGACCACCATAGATGGGGCCCAGTAGGACTGATGCCCGATACGGAGCCGCGGAAGGCCTAATGGGTTGCCGGGGCTAAGGCTCGAAGAGCAGGAGTAGGGACGGGGTGATTTTTAGTCAGTAAGAGTCTGACACTCCCTACCGCCTCACCGAGGCGCGAGCAGTCATTCGATGATTTTCCCCCCTTAAAAAAAAATCCCTGTTCCAAATTTCAACCCGACCCTTTATCCATTTGATACACACAAACTTTCGCGTATATAATATGAGCAAGATACATAAATAGCATAGTAGATGACCTTCACATCACTATGAAGCTGTTTATCTTTTATTTAGGTTTCACTTATCAGTCGTCTGAAATATATCGTTTAGGTGTAATACATAACGCTCTTTGGATAGTAGTTAACCTCCGGGTCACCATAATGTTATTGTACGATATTCATTATATTTTCCTTCTCTCTAGAGAACGCAAACAAAATCCAATTCCACCACTCAATTCTAAGTCGTTCTCAAAAATATTTCTGTCACTTACAAATACTTGAAAAATTACAGAGATAGCATGATATTTAGGTATAAGTAAAAATTGGGCAGCATTTTGGTATTCAGATGTCAGTATTATTTAACTTAGCCACTGTCTAATGGATAAACAGGATCTTAAGCTTTATCAGCGCCATGTGAGGAGCCATAAAACTATATTCGTCACTAGTAGATGACCACAACTTCGTCCGCGTGTAATAGTGACTTTGGATACTTCTTCACATCTCCTCTCCTGTAGGTAATATTCATGCAAAATTTGAAGTACCTAAATCTATGCAGTATTTTTAAGTTTAGCCCGGACATACATTATAATGGACAAGCATGTACAAACAGACAAAAATTCTAAAAAGTATATTTTTGGTTTGGTATAGATTGTAGATTATGCCCAAAGTATTCTTTTAAAAAATGTTCAATGTACAGTTTTGACCTTCCTACAATTTTATTATATGTATAAATTACCATCTAACGACGTTAGTTTTAAAATATTCGAAATTCTCATGTTCACCTATAGCGTGGACTTTCAAAAATTTATATTGTTGAGTTTGGTGTTAGCACAGAAATATTAAAAAATATATCTGTGGGTGTTAGTGTTACCTTCATAGTGGCATCGAAGGAATGCTTCCTCCCATGAGGCGGGTATCGTGTGCACTTTAAGCCAACCATTCACATCCATGTTGAACCAGTACTGAGGGTCACATTGTGCACTCCCTGTAATTTATTCACGTACAAACACATTTAATATAGAGCTTTCACTAAATGGTACATTGTAATATACAAGTTTACCTATGTTTCTTTATGTATATCTTCAAATGTAATATGCATATAAAACCACCTTATCTACAGTAAGTTCAATAAATCTTAAATAAAAATCATTACAAAAAAAATTATCCCTTTAATCGCACACTTGGGAGTGTCACAATAAGTTAGTGATACCACGGCCTTAAACCGACGTGACACACCCGTTGTCGCCTGTTTTCTGTGACACTAGCCTTTTGTGCAGCCGTGTGCGTTACTAAAGGTCCTATTCAGCCTTACAATTATTAAAAAGTAAAATTATCTTACCCAAGTTTAACATGAACAAGTAAGACAAACAAATTAAATATATTTTTAACATTTTTGCGCACTGTATCTGTTGGCTGTAGAAGCGGGAATGTCTTGAACTTAAGATAACACATGTTTATATACAAACCAGATTATTATTTGCACATTATTCACAACTGACAACGGAGTTGCTGCACAGCACCGAAATAAGTTTTTAAGTAAAAGTTTAGACATTTTGGGACTTGATACTTAATAGTACCTACCTAGTATAGTATTAGTTTCTAAAACATAGTCCACTCCGTACAACAACACAACTATATTGCCTGCACATATATTTTGTTTACTTTTTTATTTTATGTAAGTAATTTTTAAGGGGGGAAAATCATCGAATGACTGCTCCCGCCTGGGTGAGGCGAGAGGGAGTGTCAGACTCTTACTGACTAAAAACCACCCCGTTCCTTCTCCTGCACGTCGGGCCGGAGCCCCGGTAACCCGTTAGGTTCTCCGCGACATTTTTTTTGTGTAAGTATAGGTTCAGTCTAATAGTAATATAACGGGGACATTTTGTTTTACTACTAGCCCGCAGCTTCACTCGCGCGAATTACGGACTTTGTGACAAACCGACTAAATGTCAACCCTTATTTTCACCTCTTTGCGTTTCTAGATATTTTACCTTTATCTTGCTTTATTCATTATTGCTACGTAAGCGCCACAGACAGTACTCTCTTTGAATTGGGATGATGACAGTGTATGAAAATTAAAAATATAATTAGTCCGTAAGTTAGGTAATGAAAAAATATTAGACACGTATTTTTTTATTTTGTCATATAATAAAACAATACTTAGATAAAACGAATCAAAGTTTAGGAGTGGGGGCTAAAACGTCATTTCTACGTATAAAATGTACATAGAAGTGACGTCACTCCACATTTCAAATCAATATATCGTCGAAAATATTCGATTCTGTAAGAAAATAAAAAGTACGTGTCTAATGATTTAAAATAATCTACCAGACGGACATTGAAATAAAAATTAGGCATCTATCCTTGACATTTACAACATTTGCTGAAGTTAACGATTGGAAGTAACACACTATCAGTCAACATTACAATACAATAACATTGCATCATAACTATAATATAAGTTCAAGATTCAGGGAAGTCCCTATTACGTCGTATGAACCTAGTTAAATGTCAAGTATACCGGCATTTCGTTTAAAAACATAATTAGATGGGAGCTACAGCAACAGGAAAACCAAACATTTGTGGCACGGAGCAATGTACCCAACACGAGGTGAAGGTTACAACATCCAGTAAAAACTGCTGTGCGATTAACTGAATGATGAACACATTGAAAGTAACACATTGTATTGTTTCTGATAAGACAGTCACTATGTATCCGTTTATTGGTACGTATCAACAATTTTGTAAAATCATAATGAAATACTGGTAAACTTGTTGTATATACTTACAATTTAATAAATAGTTGAATCGGAAACACATGTTGTGTATCTATCTATCGTCGTCACGTTTAAACAATTGTCCCTGGTGGAGGACATAGTGGACCTGTAGCCAATCAACTCGCAGGATCCAAGTAGTAATGACAGTAAGACGTGCCGTGTGAATGTGATGGCGCCCCAGCCTCAACTCTCTTCACGATCCCTATTGTAGATCCAACTCATAGATTAGTTGCTGAAGTATAAGACGCGTGCGCGTGCAATCTGAACGAGTTAAAATGTAGACTAGTGCCGATAACCTTTATATCACGTGTCATTCGATTCGATTAATAATTTACTTTAATTACTTCGTTCGAACTACCTTCGCAAAATTATTAAAAAATATATGTATATGAAAATAATAGTTGATTAATTGACAAACTTCAGAATTAACTAGTCCATTGATATATTTTCATAATGAACCCTCTCTGGTTACCTCATAACAAGAATGTCACGTGTACCTATATTGGTTTTCATAAAACGTATGCTGTACGTCAGATTTTATGGATTGATACACACATTACATAAGTTCAAAAACCCTTGTATGATTACGTCCCCATACCCAGTATTTTGAATTCTAAGCTCCCGGATGGAGTATGCAGTCCCCAAGATGGCCCGTGCATATTTTAAACACCATTAACCCTTGCCGCTCACTAAAGACCTATTTCCAAGCTGCCCTACATTCGAAGCTTCTCAAGCTAAACTGAACCTTAGAGATTCTGATCCAGATTCAAAAATTCTTTACTTCTCTTACAGAAGTTAGGATGTTCTGCAAATTTTCGGTGATGTGAAGTCGTGTCACGTGCCATGCATGTTTAGTCAAGATTCTTATTGATTTTGCATACATAAGCGAGTTAGTGCACGACCAGGTCCACAGCGGTACATATTGATACTCGACAATGGTGTTCTATGCCATTTATATTACAATATGCCTACATTTATATGAATACAACACTAGTTTCTGCCAGTAACTTTGTTCGCACAATAGGATGATTCCCGTTTTCATCCTTATGCCATTCATTCAGGAAATACTTCACACTTGCTTGCAAGCTTTCAATGTAGTAGGTAAGCCCATGAAGGGATTTTGGTAGTTACTCGAGCGCGTCAGATTAACATATGGGGACCACCTAGTGCCATGTTGAATGTCCCCACCATATACCCGATTTGATTAAAATTGCTAAAAAAAATAAAACAAAATTTGACTAAATAAAGTCAGTTTCGTTAATGGAAGTGCGTTTAAAAAATCTTGATTTGCAAGAATAGGGGGATTTTGAAGGGTTCTCGTTTGTACTCTCCAGAACGTTCAACACCACCGTGCAAACTGGCAGAACAAGTTTTTCATTATCAGAGACACATGGAGCGTGTACACTATCAGTATCTGACTCTTTTGACGACTAGAACAGTAACAATTTTAAAGTTCTGTGGATTACCCGGTATTGGTAGAAATTACCACTAAATCATTATTCCATCTATCATTCTATCAGCATATCTTCAAAATCCAGTAGGTCTCTACGACACTCAAGTAAATCCAAATTTAGCATCATGAGTTTCTCTACTAATGGCTTTATTGTTGCCATCCACCATCATCACTGTTTTTGGGATAGGTTTAATTAAACATAATGTCCTTCTTGGCCTCTTTACATGGCAGAAGATAAGGTTGACTAAAAAAAAAGAAAAGTAAAAGACTATCAATCGTTGAATGTCAACAGATGACTTAAAAAATAAGAAGAGTTACTTAATGTAGATTAATAATTTAATACAAATATGCCGACCGCCTCATTGTCCTCTTTTTGTGGACTGGACCGTGAAACTCGTGATTCGTGCACGGGAGGTCGAGATACTGAGGTTACGGCTAAAACTAGGTTCAGCGACTTTGCAGATGGAGAGTGTGGAGAACCCTTTACTCCTCATCATTTGCACCTAGATTTCACTCCTGACACAGAGGTAGACACACCCTTGGTTCAGCAAAAAATCATTGACTTCTGGGATTTTGTCAACAGCACGCCTGAGTTACAGCACATGTTGATGAAACCGGTAAGTTGTCTGGCATTGGCTTCGAGTCCATCAGAATATGATGATATTTAACGGCTTCTCACATAACTGTTTGAGGGGGAAACTCGACTAGTTTCAAATCGCGCTAGGGGCTCATATTCATGAGTAGCATTGTACAATATATGACGTGCAAAACACAAAGATGCTGCTTAAGTGAACCGAGTTTTTTAGGGGGGAGAAATCACAAATCATCTGATTTCTTGCTTCGGATAAGGCGAGAGGGAGTGTCAGACCCTTACTGACTAAAAACCTCCCCGTTCCTATTCCTGCGTCGAGCCGGAGCCCCGGTAACCCGTTAAATTTCGTACGTTTTTTTATAGGACAAGTGTATGTCAATTGTGTCAGCAATAAGTGAAGTCAAGATTACTTCTCCATCAAAACCAAAACTACATAAAGAGGAAGTCGTGGAAATGGACCACACTGCGATCTCATCACTCGGGTTATTTAGTAAACCAGGTATGAATATCTGAATGTTTTTAATACTCACTAGAGTGCGCTGATGTAGCGAAATGTCATGGACTATGCCTAATCCCTACAACCCGTGGCACTTACGCGTGCCGGCGTGCATGCATATTTGCCGACTAAGGAACAACCCCCATCACTGTCATTTTTAAATAACGCCGCATATGATGAACATACGATATACGGCGCAGTTACACAGTTCAGTAAGAATGGTCAATGAGTAATACCATTTTATATCATTAGTCCAAAAAGACACTTTGACACAGTAATTACTATAGCGAGTTAAAGTTTGTGAAGTTTTAATAAAAGTAATTATTAGCAGCACATCTAGTGTCAATTTCAAAGGGACTCCCGGGGCGCCATCCTAACAGTAGTCTCATTTGTCCAATTGGGATGATAACAGGGTATGAAAATTAAAAATATAATTAGTCCGTAAGTTAGATAGTGAAAAAATATTAGACACGTATTTTTTTTATAAAACAATTTTTATATTTTGTCCTATAAGAAAATGCGGGGCCCAGTAATAAAACCATATTACAGGCAGCTGAGCAATTCCCTGTTTGATATAGTCTTGAAATAAATGCGTTGGATTTGTCATTATCATATTTGATCATTCCAGGAGTGATAACTGAGACACCTTCAATGCACACGTCCCTCTCTCCGGATTCCAAAGAGAACAACCTAGACATAATATGTAAGTAAATAATAACATAATGTATTGAATTAACTTAATATTTCAAAACAATACATAGTAGATACTTCTTCTTCTTTTCTTCTGATTCACTTCGTTGCGGGAACCAAGACAGTTACTCATGTCCCTGGGACGCGCCGGACTTCAGTGTTCCGGTGTTTTCATGGTGGTATCTACTGTAGCTGTAGATCCTGGCTTAGAGGAGTTGCAGCGGTTTAGGGAGGTTGTGGCCGGCTTGTCCTTTAAAAAGTAGATACTTCTTCGTAATTGTATTAATGGTCTTTTCCGGTCATTTCCTCATGTCTGAGGATCGTGGTCATCTTGGCATCACTCTGGATCGGACGAATTGTCTCCGTCGGCTCCTGTCTGCGGCCATTTGTATTGTGATATAGAATCTCGATGCTGGGTTGTCCTTGAGCTGGTCAGACCATCTGGTTCCCCAACCAGATGGTCGTCCTCTGGCCCTTCTCCCTTTAACATTGCCCACGACAATGAGGTTCTCCAAGCTGTACCCCCGTGTATCGCTATATACCTCTATGTATAAATCGTAAAACCTTGAAAGGATATTATCTAGATTTAAAATTACGTTGATAACTATGCCAAAATGACTGCACGGTTGGTGCGGTGGCTGGGCAACTGGCTGCCGTGCAACGTGTCGCGGGTTCGATTCCCGCACGGAACAACACTTTGTGTGATCCACAAATTGTTGTTTGGGGTCTGGGTGTCATGTGTATGTGAATTTGTATGTTTGTTAACGCACCCACGACATATGAGATAACCCTAGTGTGGGGCAACATTTTTTTAAAATAATAATAAAAAAGTAAAGTGACATATTATTTTATTTTATCAAGTATCAGGTGACCCGTTGAGCAGTGGCACAAGTAAAGCAGGGCGTCCACAGAAAAGCACTAAAAAAGCCAAGAAGCTGTGTAAGATCCTAAACGATTGGGACAACAACCATCCTAAGTAAGACATTGCTTTCACGTAACTCCGCCCTGAAAGAATCTCGAATCTAATACAGGACTCTGATATGTAACACGACAATATATCTTACTGCCCCGTAATAAAGATCATTATTACAACTGCACTCAACAAATTCATAACACTTAACTCAATATTAAATTTATTTTACCTTACCCGGCTAGAACAACTAAAATAGAAACTACTATTAGTGGTTTTTCCTATATAATAATTTATTTTATCTATACAGATAATTAAAAATGGAGTGTCTGTTTGTAATATTCTGCGTTCTCTATCTATACATATGATGTACATACCAATAAAACACTTTTTACAAGTTTGATCGTTCTGTCTGTTGGTACCAGCTAATCTCTGGAACGGCTGGACCGATTTTGCAAAACTTTTATTGGCAGGTAGCTGATGTATTAGGGAGTAACATAAGCTACTTTCATTTTGGAAAATTAAAACAAATTAAATATGTTCTAAAATTCATATTCTATGCGGACGAAGTCGCCGTCAAAAACTAGTATGAATTAATTAGGAAAACACCTCATATAGTCACTACTTACCTACCTTCTGAAGATAAATATCGTTACACTTAGTCAGATCCAGACCATTAATTTAGTTATTAAAAAGAATAATATAAGTTTGTACTTTAAGTAAACTTTCTTGTCTATCTTTATCAGGTCCATGGATCCTCCTGGACATCCACCACGGCTGGAGCATTGCGTCATTCAAAGACAAGTGTGGGGAGACTACCGTTGTAACTAATATCTTTTCCGTAATGTGCACCTCTGCTTACCCCCATTCGGGGATAAAAGGTGCGATGTTATGTTATGTTTTATGTTACCAAGTTTGAATACGCGCAGTAGGACGCGGGCTATACATACTGCACATCGAGTTTTGGAAGGAGAAATTTTATACGGGCTGTTGTAATGAAATATAACGTAATAAAATCTAGTTTTGTGTGATACTATGATCATATTTTATTTGTAAACTTTTTCTTTTTCTACCTCCATGTTTCGAGAAGAGTGCTTGACTGATTTTAGTGGGTCATCAAGAGCGACTTGGCCGGTCGTCTCCTTCCAAAGGTCGGTGTGCAATATTTACTGCAGGGTACTGTACAATTTGGATGATGACAGGGTATGAAAATTAAAAATCTAATTAGTCCGCAAGTTAGGTAATGAAAAAATATTAGACACGTATTTTTTATTTTATCGTATAATAAAACAATACTCAGATATAACGAATCAAAGTTTAAGAGTGGGGGCTAAAACCTCATTTCTACGTATAAAATGTACATAGAAGTGACGTAACGCGACATTTCAAATCAATATATTGTCGAAAGTATTCGTTTCTGTAAGAAAATAAAAAATACGTGTCTAATGGTTTAAAATTTAGGCATCTACCCTATTGTTCTCATGACTAATGTTAGCGAAGGATTAGCCTACAACAGTTTTATTTATTGACAGTCAAAGGCTTCGCAATGACAATATCTTAATGCATCTGCCATACGCTCCAGAATCCTTCACAGTTGAGCCTCCAACACATTGACATAAACAGATGAATACTCCTTACCTAAATGTAATGATTCCTAAATGTCTTATTCCTTAAATCAGACATGTTCTAATATAACTATTATAATGTTAATTTATTTTTATTTCTATTTTAATGTTAATTGAGTACTAACTTCTAGAATTTAATTGTCATCTAGAATACAATATAGTATGTAACTGTAAATCGTAACGCTAAATAGTAAATATAAATGTTTATGAATGATTCCATTGGTGTTTATTGCCTTGTATTTAGATTCCTTGACTAGGTCGGATACATTATATTTTTGTTCAAAACGTTGCCCCACACTAGGATTTTCTCCTGTGTCGTGGGTGCGTTTACATACAATATCACATACACATGACACCCAGACCCGGAACAACAATCTGTAGATCACAAAAAGAGTTGTTCCGTGCGGGAATCGAACCCGCGACACGTTGCGCGACAGGCAGCTGCCCAGCCACCGCTTTATTAAATTAATTAAAAATGGATTTCTAGATCTTTGAAAATTCTCTGTAGTCTATATTAATAATTGTAGACTTCTGCTTACCCCTTTGGAAAATAAAGGCATGGTGTTAGATAATGTGTGTTGTAGTTGTATTACTGCAAATTAGTTTATTCGTTTAGTTATAGGCACTCTTTGGTGTTAATAAGGCGCTATAATAAAAAAAAAATATATCCTCCTTGTAGCAAATAATACTGGCTGATCGAACTTAAATCCACAACCTATCTCGCTTGTCATAATAACAATATTTCCAAACGTCAGTCATAAAACACAATTTTTGAATAAATAATAATTTTTACTTGTATTATAACAAATGATATCCGATGATCTCAATTCTTGTTTTCTACAGACAAGTGAACATAAGAGATCTGTAGAGTCAGGGACCAGTAACCCTAAGTCTGAGGAGACCTTCAGCGTGTTCGCAGATGGATGGTGTGGGGAGCCCCTGGAGCCTCAGCACCTCACCATCGACTTCACACCAAACAAAGAAACTGACACCGAGTTTATCCAGAGGAAAGTCTGCTCCTTCTGGGAATTCATTGAAAACTCTCCAGAGTTACACAAATTGAGAGTAAAGGCGGTATGTCTTGGTCTTCTAAAACATAACACTTGGATAGTAGGTACTCCGTATGAACAAGATCCTGTTTTTAAAAATTCTATAGGATTACTTTCGTATTTACAAACTCCAGTTCTTTTTGTTTATAATCTTTGTTTTTTTTCTTTTTCTTTGTTTTTTCTTCTTTTTTGCCCCATACTAAGATTTTCTCCTGTGTAGTGCGGTGCGTTTACAAACATACAAATTCACATACACATGACACCCAGACTCGAAACAACAATCTGTGGATCACACAAAGAATTGTTCCGTGCGGGAATCGAACCCGCGACACGTTGCGCGTCAGCCAGTTGCCCAGCCACCGCGCCAACTGTGCAGTCAATATCATATAATAATCTAGTGTTATAAGCAATTTGTCCGTTTACGTAAAAACATGTTATTTACTCGAATTATTCCAATTTTTCAGGATGGGAATATAGTTCTCGATACAGGCAGTAGCTCAGACAGTCGTAAGTCGGTATCAAAAATGAAACAGTCCGTTGATACCATGGACCATGAATTCTATGAAGATGAAGAAGAGTCGATTCCCGAGAAGACGGCTGTCGAGATGCTGGAGTTTGCTGAGAACAAAAGTAAATAGATAGATTTCTTCAATAAATACAACATTCTACCACGCTCTGTCCCACTCCAATTTCCTTTCTTATTCATGGTTCTACTGATATTATACAGCTCTAATTGTAAAATCTGACTATGATATTATAATCTTAAATTACAAAATTATCCCCACATTATTGACATTCCATAGTCTCTGCTTACCCCCAACGGAGCCAGGCGTCAAGTTATGTATGTAAATCTAATGAAGACAATACCAAATCATGTAATGCCGACCAATTGTTCGTTTCGTTTTTTTAGATCTAATTAATCGCATATTTGGAGCAAAAATGGCGTCAACATGTTCGCTGGGCCCTCGTGAATACATACAAGAAGATACTAAAGTACCACAACCCAAGAAAAAGGAGAAGAAGAAGAAACTAGGTAATGTAATATGTATTTGGAGTGGGAGACCCTCGCTCCCACTCTAGAGGTACAAACAAATACATATCCCAAATCTCAATAATCTCATGATTCTAACACAAAGCACACTTTTTAGTGTCTATTCCATGTCGCCAACTAAGAATGATTTATATTCCAGCTTGTACGTGTATATCATCTCCCAAGGTGTCGTGTCCTCTACACTCATCACAGATCCATGTCGTTAATAAAAAGCCCTCAAAAGTGCATGGTTCCAAATTGAAGCTTCTGAGCCGGCAGCTGAACGACTGGGACGCGAAGCACCCCAAGTAAGCATACATGTATTACTTTACTGCAATGAAAGCCCATCTCCCATTGAAGACCTAAAATGTTCCAGCCGATCCAAAAGTAGGTAAATTGTTGGAATATTTGTACCAACCTTAGGCTTAGAATGAATATTGGAACAAGCGTAATATTTTTTATTTGTTTTTTTGTGAATTTGCCCAGGAACATGGATCCTCCAGGCCACGCGCCTGCTCTGCAGCACTGTACGATCCAGAGACAAGTCCACCACAACCTTACTTGTTTATAGTTACTTGTACTTAATGTTAGATAATGATTTTATTCGTACGTTCTTTTATTAGTTACTTATTTGTCAAGAAATAGTTTTAAAAATTAATAATAATGAAGTTTTATTTGTTGTTTGTAATTTTTACTATTCCTGCCGTAGCGCTGATACTATTATGAAAATCACTCCTGCTGCAGTGCTAGCCAAATGCCATTTAGCGCTTGTCTACATGTAGAGTAGAAAACCAAATTATATGGAATTGACGTAAATTTTGACACTTGTCAGTGTCATCCCCATACATTTTGATTTCTACTCTCACTGTAGACAAGCGCTAAAGTGGCTTTTGGCTAGAGGCCCTGAGTATAACAATCCCGTCATAATGTTGACAGAGAAGAACCTCGTATGATTGAAAATCATTTTATATGTTTTCGTCCTCAACTGTCGTTCAGTTTCTGTTACTAAGGTTGACTCATTGACAAGTTGACAATTCGCCTCCTTCACGAGATCCGAATGTATGTACACCGTTAGAAAAGCACACTTAGCAGACTTATCTTAATGATTTCGTTCGCTTCATTTCATTTAATAAAACAGAGTGCAAGAATAATGCCCAACTTGTATCCAATAAATAGTTTAATCTCCGGCCAACATTATTAGAATAGACGCTACCACATCATGATTTTCCACTTAATTGTCTTGTAATAAAGGTCTAATAATTCTTCAATAGTCTTGTAATTCTATTGATGAGCCTCCGCCTCCCCAAACTCCCCATCCCAAACTTTTTAACATATAGTGCTTGTGTTAAGCTCTCTTTTTGTCATTTCAAGGTTTTAACTAATAGAGGGCTTATGTGCTATACTATACACTTGGCAGTCTGGGCACAATTCCAAACTTCCAAAAAACAGATGCAGAGCAGATGCTCACAGCTTCTCTTGTGCTCAGCCCCCTATACTTATTATACTCTTTGTGCTCAGCTGTGAAGCTTTCTTATGAACTCAAGAAGTTTTTACAAAAATCTTTCTTATAAAATGCAAGCCTCTTTGCTAGTTTGTATTCTGTCAAAACAAGTGTCAACAAGCACGTGTTGAAAACTGACATCTACTTGTCAGTTGTCAGTCCAGCAGTGAACTTCAAAACTATTTCAAGACGTATATTTCTCAAGGTTTATAAGTATCAAACTGGTCTTTCATCAACCTGGTGTGGGATTGACGATCATCATTTCGAAAGCTCTGTTCCCAATGCCATCCATATGTTCACGGTGAGCTGCTACGTGTTCCACCCTCTGCTGCAGAGGTTGGTGAGGCTCTGGAGATATGTGCAGGTTGTGTCAGATGTCCTCACTTTCTTCCTGGCCATGTTGTGCTGCCAGTGTGCTGCAGCAGTGCCTTTCTCCACCTCATCCTCTGTGGATTCTAAACCATCTGTGCAGATATTTAAGGTAGGTATTTAAATATATTCTATGGGATAAATGCATTTTACATCTGTTTTTGAACAATACGTTTCCTGAGTAATCTATTAACCAATCACAATTTCGGTATCAACTTATCTAGTTATTTTACCGAAATCGGCGACCCATTTGTAACTCCTCTACTGCTGTGAATCGAATGGGATAACATGACCACGTATGTACCATTTCTATCTGAATGTGTGATGGAAACAATCCTTACTATTATAAATGGGAAAGTGAGCTAGTTTGTTTGTTTGTTTGTTCCACTTTCACGCCGTGACTTCTAAACCGATTGCTTGAATTTTTGCACACGTAAAATTAGAAGTCCAGATTAAATAATAGGGTACTTTTTATCCCGGAAAATTTTAGTATTCCCAAGGGAAAACAAACGAATTGGTATGGATGGCGCTGTGTGTATTGGTATAGGCTACTTTTATCCTTTTGTGACGCGAGCGAAGCCGCGGGTAAAAAAGCTAGTACTCCATAAAATGACAGTCGTGGTGTTTTGAGAATCTTGACAGAAGAATCATTTCATATCCCAGGCTGAAGCATTAACGCAGAAACAGGAGGAAATAGAGAATGACCAATCATGTGGCGAGCCGGTGAAGGCGCATCACCTGGTGATCGACTTCGCCCCCGGCAGGGAAGACACTCCGGAGATACAGGAGCGCTGCCACCAATACTGGCAGGATGCCAAGAACCGTCAAGAGCATAATAATAACATGGTTTGTTCGAATTTGTTTCTACTACATTTTAACCCGTTGTATTTGTAAGTAAAGGTGACATTGTAATTTATAAATATAAAATCGTTCTTAATTATTAAAGTAAAGGAAAATAAACTCAATATTATCATTATATTGCTACCAATGCCTGATGAATAGATAGCAGCATTCTCTAAATGTTGGCGTGTTGTCGTTTGACGTGACGGGCTAAGGGGAAGACCTTTGTCGCGGAGAACCTAACGGGTAACCGGGGCTCCGGCTCGACGTGCAGAAGAAGGAACGGGGTGGTTTTTAGTCAGTAAGAGTCTGACACTCCCTTCCGCTTCACCCAGGCGGGAGCAGTCATTCGATGATTTTCCCCCCTTAAAAAAAAAAAAAAAAAAAGGGAAGACCTTTGTCCAACTGTGGAAGTTTTCCGACTGTTGATGATGATTCTCTAATTTTATAGAAACAGACTGTGATCCATAAGTCACTTGCTAAGAATGGGGAGGCTCAGATCTATTACCTAGTTATAAACAAAATAATTCGAAAAATAATACAAACTATTCCGTCTTACCGTCTACCTTCGTTTGTATGTTCTAGTCCTCGAAGAGTAAAAACCTGATTGACTTATCGAAAACCGGCTCACACCCCGACAGGAGCATAGAGAGCCAAAGTAATATACCATCTGTACATACGCACAAGAAACATAACAAAAAAGGTAAGATAAAGTTAAGACCCAACCGTCCCCACCTCCGTCTCCAATCCCCAAAACCCCAATTCTCACCAAGTCATCCCTAACCTCCAAAACTGTATAAGGCAACGTATTTGAAACTCCTGTAGTGTTTCGGTTGGCGCCGATTGCTTACCATCAGGTGATCACTGTGACTAATACACTTCATTGCATATTTTGCAGGTAACGTACAAATAGCATTAGACTCAAGCACAGCAATTAAATATCATACGTAAATGACACAACAATTTTTTATTTTTTATTTTTTTTTACACTTTATTTTTACACTTTATTAAATTTTATTTTTTTCTATCTCTTTTTTCTTATCTTTCACATATTTCTAAGCCACAATAAACGGGTATATAATCCGGGTGTCTGCAAGGAGTTTCCACGATTGCATATGAATGTACTTATAATAATAATACATATTTTGATTGGTCATGTAACTAGTGTTCTTTGGACTTAATAAAAAAGAAACTAGAATAATTCGATATTTTTATATTTCAACTTGTTGTACAATATTCAAAAACATGTTTATAATGTATCTATCAAAATAAGTAAATAATATAGATGGTAAAAATAAAAGATGGTAAAATAACTGTAACTATAATAGCGATTGTAGTAACTGCAGTAAACTATCTAGCAGTTTATAAAAAATCCTACCAGACTGTAGGCAAGCAGTCAGCAAACCAGATGGCAACGTTATGGTTGATAAAAACCAGAAAATCTCTATTGATAACCCAGGCCCAGTCTTGTCGCATTCATATTTTTTCCAATATTTTTTTTTGTGTACAATAAAGTGTTAATAAACAAATAAATATTAGGCCTACATCCTTCGATCAACAATAACAACTGTTGATCGAAGCCTACATCAATTTGGCACAACGTTACCAAAGAGCTGTAGTAGTAGTAATGTAAGGGTTGGCCTAAGAGACCACGTGCTATCTATACTAATTTATAAAATAACATGTCCTAACTGACTGACTGACTGATTGATTCCTCATCGCCAAGCGTCAACTATCAATTTTACAAACACAAAATAAGAAATTATCATATTGATGAAATTATTTTGAAAAATCCCACTCTTTAGAGGTCAAAATAAATGATTATAATATGTGCGACGTACATAATATTATGTCGTTTTTGATTGAACACACCTGAACAAAGTTTCCTATTTCGGTTATTGACGTAAAATAAAAAGGTGTTTCAGGAATTTTGGAAATTGTACTTAAGAATGGACGATCTAAGGAGTTGAAAAGTATAGGACTTGCATTATTTTTGATTTGACCAACACTAAACTTTTTTTTGTAGACGTTCAAAAGTGCCTTTCTGGTCTAACTGAAATAAATATTTTTGATTTTGACTTTGACTTTTGATTTTGACTCTTGACTTTGACTTTTACTATGATTTAGGCTAATAAATGAAAAGAAAAAGAATACGTAAATCGTGGGCTTTGGAAATCTTACTAGGTAAGGAATGAAAGTTTGTGAGCATATAACATGCTTTATTTTTGGGTTAACAACTCTAGAAATGCAACGGTGAAAATGGAGGTTAATATTTCGTAGGTTAATCACAAAATCCGTAAAGGACCAATACTTGTTCACTTGTCCAAGCACCTTAGCACTATAGTCGTAGCCGATGAAAAAATATATCCATTATCAACATCATCATTTCATTTGGTATTATAGATTTGGGATTGTTGCATATTGCTTCATTATTGCATATTCATGCAAATTTTTTGGACGTACTGCAACCAGTAAGTAAGGGTTTTACATTTTGTCATACATGATGCGCATGCTCTGATGGTCGGTCTTGACGCGTGCGTCGAACGTGCGCATGTCGGACCGGCAGCGCGCCGCGCGCTCAGCGTCGTGCAGCACGTAGTCCCTGACTCCGCAGGGACAGCAGGCACCACACTCACAGAAAGCGCAACAAGCTTTGATGGCGCCCAGTGCTCCTACAATATATATTTATCGTAAAGCAAAATAATCAGGGCTTCGTTGTTTTCCACACGATGGCGCTGATCTAGCAAGAAGTGTTTTTATCTAATTACTATAGCTGTCAAAAATTGGACGCCCAATGGTGTGCCCCTAGCTAATTTCTTATTGGACAAAGAACGAGAGGTCTGCACTAGCACCATTCAGTGAGCAAAAATATAGTCACCCCCTTTCCTTCTGTCATCAAGGTAAAGGAGAAACATGACAGAAATTTAATAATCAGGGCTTCCGTTGTTTTCCACACGATGGCGCTGATCTAGCAAGAAGTGTTTTTATCCAATTACTATAGCTGTCAAAAGTTGGACGCCCAAACGTGTGTCCCTAGCTAATTTCTTATTGGACAAAGAACGAGAGGTCTGCACTAGTACTATTTAGTGACCAAAAATACAGTCATCCCCATTCTGTCATCACGGTAAAGAAATTCAGAAATTTGAATATTTAATTCCCTATTTTAACACAATACAAAACTAGATTTAACCTCAGCGAGGGCTAAATAAACGGTTTACGTGCTTTCTTCCATTTTCACCAACCTCTCTTACATTTTAAGAAACTCCTTAGCTAAGATAGGTCTATGACGATAAGATCTAAAAGTGACATCTAACCATACAAGGGATAAGTTTAGGTGAATAATTCAGAGATGGTAAACCATTACTCCTAAAGGGGTGTGAAAACGGCCAGTCTTAACTAAAAGGCTATCTCACCCATAGCCTTGGCCATCTGCGCGTACCGCAGGTATGGTGTGTCGACGTCTTCATCGATGGGAGCCTGGCAGATCCTGACGACATGTGGCACGTGCGCTACACCGCGCTCCGTCACATGCACTCCTCGCGTCCGCGCGAACAGAGGGCATGGACTGTTGGGGAACACTTTCTGGAATACACGTAACACATGCAAAATATCTATACAATTCGTCATCCACCCACACCCACATCCACCACCTAACAAGTCTTCGACTCAATAAATGTTTATATTCAACCATATTTTTCGATAAGAAGGAAAGAATTATTTAATTTCAACAACATAGTATTTTATTTTAATTTTAAAAATGACAAACTTAAGGAACAGGTAATTGAATAAATATGTACAACTTAAATAATATAAAACTAAAATATACTATATCAGGCATAAAAAAGAACGATAACAAAAACAGACCTCCAACCCAACCAGGCAAGTACTCGTCCGCCTCGCTGTCATTGGGGAACGATCCCAGAGCACCACCACGTTGCATGGCAATGCTTATTTCTGACCAGTTCAGTGTAACAATTTCTTTAAAACCAAAATGCGCTGGGACCCCCATGACTTAATAATTTTAACCCCAAACGGCACAAAACCGTAATTTTCTACAAGATTGACGCCACGAAGCGGCCGCAACAGCACATGCAGCGGTACTTAGAAGATGTGATGGCGCAAGGGTGTCTACACACGTCGCGTCCCACACCAAAGGCCTACCTATCTTCCAAAGCAACAACGACATACCATCTGTTCTCTTGTCGTCATCACGTACCAAACCATTAGGTTCCAATATGGCTGATACGCTGGCTGAGGCAAGAGCACGACGAATGACGTCGTTGATGCTGACATGGCGAGCTATGTGGCCTGCACTTCTGCAGCAAGAAAGACCATGGTGTCCCAAGTTATCGACCCTTTCTCCACCGCGGCAAAAATGTGGAGAAACGCAAAGTGCACCCAAACGTAAGCATACAGCTAGCCGGAATGTTATGTCATCCAACATAGCACCTATGTAGGGTGACGGGAGTGCCTGAAGCCACAGTTGCTCCCATTCTTCTACAGCCAATAAGTCCAACAACCAGTTCCGGAGATTTGCATTGAAATAAACAAACAAATTCTTCATCTTTCATATAAATTAGTATTGATACAGATTCCTTGACTTTATAAATAAAGGTTACCGTCGGCCATCTCTTATAGCAGAGAGGTAATGGTTTCCTCTCCAGCAGCAGCTCCGCTGATGTGTTCTGGATTTCACCGTTCCACTTGCGTCTCCGACTCTTGCACACTGGACGGCATCTGCAAACATCACCTCTTATCTTATGAAATTATAAATTACAGGTTCAATTACTACAATGAATTGTTAAGAATCCGTTGTGGTAGTCTTTAGGCATAAACGTATCATAAAACAGTCGTTTAAGTCAATGCTTTAATTTATAAAGCACACAATTGTTGTTACATAAAAGAAGAATAAATAGGTATCTCACTTGCACAGGTCCTTGGTATCCTTTGGATTCGGTTTATTTTTCGGCAATTGTATCATTCTTAGCCTAAAACATTTGAAGCGTCCAAAACGAAACCAAACTGAAATTATTGTATTGTGTTGTGACAGTTCTTGACAGTTTTATTGCAATATATTTTCATTTGTTTTCATTGTACCATAAAGTAACATTCTAAATAGTACACAAAAGTCAAAAGTTCTATAGCACATTATATTACACAGACTCTTTCCTCCAAAGCAGGTAAGTGGTAAGTAGGTACTCAAATATGAAAGGCCAAATATTGATTCGAAAATCGTAGTTGAAACCCGTGCCGTCGTAACATGGACTAATTAAAACGACTTGGTAATAAATACTTCCTACTTAAGTGTAAACAAAAGGCATTTGTTATCCCAGTTAGCGCAAAGTCAAGTCTTCACTTTAATAAGGAAAGTGTTGTTCAAAGCAACACCGAATTCGTAATTAAAAAGTTTTAATTCTCCCCCGTTCTGAATTATTGTTACTAAAGCGTAATACCCAAGTTAAAGACTCTGTTTTCACTTTCAGAATTTCTTTGGGAAATTGGACGGTCTTCAATTGGCACGGACTTTTAATTTTTTCAATGGATGGCTTAAGTGAAATGAGTTTTTCATCTCGCTGCTCGATAAAAATAATCTTAAAAGCAATTCAAATAATAATTATTTGGAACACGGAAAAGCGCGGCGATTGGCCGTCTATTTTGCATAGAAACGTAATCATTTATGTTCAAATTCTATTAAAGAAATCTCATCGGCTTAACTTGATATTTCAAACACGACAAAATAAATCTAAGTTCATGTTGGTATAAACTACACCGATCAGTGTTAACACTAACCACAGTATTCTGAGCACAAACTAGACGTAGGTATCATATTGTTCTAGCTGATAAACTCTCGTGTTAATGAAATTTAATCTCTCATAATTACGTGAGGTGCTGGGCGCCTGGCTGCGGCGTTCCCGCCAATTTCCTATAATTATCGGGCGGGAGCGCGGGAAATCAGGTTTGCGGTCTCCTTCGTCGGCGCCACGGTCGGAGGAATCTCATTTGCGCTCGAGATGCTGAGAAGGATACATGCGTTCTAACTATCTTTGTTATTGAGTTCGTTTTAATGTTTATTTTATTTAACATAGTTGTCTTCTTGGTTGATAGTATTGTTCAAAATTTAGGAATAGAACCTGAGCCCATAATTAATAGAATTTATTTTTAAAACTAAATTAGTGTTCATTCTGTAGCAGGCTACCTTCTATAAAGTCTTCATTATCAACTAAAATAAAAGAGAACATTAGAATAACGACACGTCTAACCAAAATCATGTAATATTCAAGGATCGCTGTCACATTCACGAATTACGAGAATACGTAACACACCACAATACACAAAAGATTCCATTTCAAAGCGGAATGTAATTATAAATACACAGTTTTCAACGGGTGGGACAAATTTTAGGTAATTACGTTTCACGGTGGTGGTGTGGTCCCTGGGGCTGACTTGAGGTCGTGGGGTTACCGCACATCAATTTGCTCAAACAGATCAAACGCTTTCCTCAACTGTATACGCTGCGGGAACTTGGGATGTTTACATGTTTACAGGGTTTCACCGCGACCCCTATCGCGGTTTTGTACTCAGGTAATAGTTTGACATGGAAACACGACGGTGTTCTAACAGCTAGAGTTGTTTTACGAAATCAAAACCTGTCTATAAAACTTTTTAAATTTTTAAAAGAATTATAATTTATAAGTCGATAAGTAGTAGTATAAGGAGTGGAAGGAGGGTAGGGAGGCCCTTGCCCTGCAGTGGGACGATGATGGCTGAAAAAAAATCGATAATCCTGTAAATAAATGTAAAACATACAACTTTGTGGATTGTTAAATAGAATATAATTTAGTGCAAATAAGTTGCAAATGAAACAGACACTCGAACGAACACAATAAACTGTGATATTTGAGGACGTTCACAATCGCCAGTCGAATGTTTTCATTTAAACGTGTCCCGATGTCGCTGAAGCTCTCAATAGCCCCGAACGAAGCAAGCTGATGAAATAACTTCCAATAAATACTCTTTGTTTTTGCTTTACCTTAATGTAATGCTGATATAATCACCTTAGAATAAAAACAGGTACGGTACCAGTATTAATGCAATCGTTGTGTAATTAAAAGTTTGAAAATCGCATTTATTTCGAAGCAAAATTACCTATATTCATGTTATGTGTTATTACAACTTATCCTAAATCATAAGAGCTGTGTGCCTAGTAAACGCTACAGGTACGATATATTATACATTTAACCATTTTTGTTACAATCTTAAATTATGACAGTTACTGCTGAACGGACTAAACTAAATAAAACACTGATATGATATATCTATGAAATAAAATAAATTATTTTGGATTTTAGAAACTTTTTGAGCTTCACCTCATTTCTGTCAGTCTATGATTATGTTGTCAAATTAAAATGTCTGACGAGAAATGTTTGTACATTTATTCGCGTGCATGTATTTCATTGTATTTGACTCGATAACTCAACAAGTTGTGGCGTTCATATCAGTGTTAGATCACGGCATCTATCCCCTGGAGCAGGGATCTATCGGAATACAATTCTATATTGACGTTGAGAACAACAATCATTTCGTACCATGCAGAGTCAACTCATGGCCAAAAATGTGCTGCCTAGCTGACGAAGACTACAAAGATTGTAGTTTTGATGCAATTCCAGGAGACAACCAGGAACTTATCAAACCAAACACTAGAGAAACATTGTTGTACGTGTACCCCACGCTGTACCAATATGATCAAGTCGGATACTGCGACTTTGTCATCGACTTTAAATGCGACAATAGCAGGCGAGCCAGACAAGTATCTGTTAAAATACCGTTTGATACGCAGTTCTCTAATAAAAAGAATTCGCAATATCTTAAAGCGTATATTGATATAAAAGGTAATGAGTGTGATTCGCTCGATGAAGACCCCTTGCATGACTGTGAAGCTATCAACTGTGACCTGAAGTACGCTGGCCGCAGGCCGTACTTTGACAAGCGCAACAAGTGCGTGAGTGCGCCCGTCTGCGACACAAACGTGATGAAGGCACTACCTGACGTAGTATACGTGCCCAAAACTAATATCTGTAGAGACCTGGACCACCCCATTACAATTGGGGACATATACGCTATCAGCACGGGCCTCGGTGTTGTGACTGAATCAACTAAATCACATTTCAACAATATGAAGATACGGATGAAATCAAACTGCTCAACTATATCACAGAATGTGGTCATGCTAAAAGACATGATGTATGGCAAGCTGTGTCCGATGTTCAACGGCGACACGTCTGGTTACGAGGAATGCTGTACAAATGCCTTACTATCAATAGTCTCTTATGTGGTTGCTATCTGTGGCTTGCTGCTGTCACTCGTCTGCTGTATTCACACAACAATGTGGTGTTACTCAAAATGGACAAAAGGAGACATGGGCAATAGTTTCATGTGTTGGAAACCAGTAAATACTAACATGTCAATACACCGAGCCTCCGCAACACGGAGAGAGATAACCAACAATCTATTGAGAGAAGTAATAGTAAAGGACTTGCCGATAGAGATGCGGGATAGTGTTGTGGACATCTGCCAGAGAATTAATAAGGAGATAAAACAAAAGAAGAGGTACAGAGTAGCTGATCTAGGCAGCCAATTAATCTTAGAGAAGAAGAGTCCAACACCACATCTGATACTACCTCTCAATCATCTTCGTCTAATGGTGATAAAACTGGTCGAGTCAAACTGATAAAATAACTATATTGTTCTGTAAATATCAATAATATTAGCTTTGTAGGATTTCCACAATAAAATATGCAAAAAATAATAAACATTATTTATTACTATTAAATATTTATAATAATAATTGTTTACACACAATATTGTTTTCGCAATAAAACAGATTTAACAGTCCACAGCAATTACACGACATTTGTAAACGAATTGACTAGCACAGAATAACTTTTAATATTACATACATACTAGGTGTAATAGAACACACATCGTGAGACAGAGAATTACAATTCATCTTTCTGGTTTCTGATTGTTCCTCTTTGATAGTCTTCTTAATGAAGTCTGCTGCCCTTTCAGCAATCATCATAGTGGGAGCGTTAGTGTTAACACTAGGTATCGTGGGCATCACGCTAGCGTCCACTACCCTCAGGTTCTTGAGTCCGAACACCTTCAGCCTACTGTCAACTACTGCTCCAGATTCTTTCGACCTGCCCATCATAGCAGTGCCCACGGGGTGGTAGACATGGTAAGTGACAGTCCTAGCCATACATTCCCAATAGTCATCGCTTTCAAACTCAAAGTCATCACAGCCGTCAAAATAAATCCTCTGTATTTCAGCTTTCATATTTTTGAATGTTGGTGTCTTAACAATTTCCATTACTTTTTTAATACCTTTCACGAAGGTTTCCATATCGCGTGAGTCATTGAAGTACCTCGTGAAAATTTTGGGATGTTCCATCGCATTCTTACCGCGTAGCAGTATTTCGCCTCTCGAGTGGGGGCGGCAGAGCGCTACAAAGAATATGAACATTTCTTTCTCTTTATTAAATTCCACGAATTGTTTACAAATGCTATCATTGAAAGAAAATGTATCTCTGCACATAGAATTTATGTATGAAGTGTTTGGTAAAAAGTAATTGTGGTCTATTTGAACATCGGGTAGAGATTTGTCACCAGAAACAGACAAAAATGCATTAACATTGGGTTGATCATAATTAGTTGCGAGTGGTCCTGTTTGGTCGACTAAGTACTGGGCTGCAGCTTTCTGCCAAAACTCTTCGCCTCTTCTCTCAGCTCCAGTATCCACTGTCACTGGTATTGGTATACGAACATGGTCTTGTAGATTCTTTCCAACTGGTACGTCCGCCACCAGCTTGACGTCCATTTCTTTAAGGTGTCCTAGGTCCAATACCAGACAACATTAGCAGTTTAGGAGTATTTATTGCGCCAGCGCTTACTATAACCTCTTTGCTTGCAAAGTATGTTTCTACGTCACCATACAAAAGTGAAAGTGTGACGCCCTTTACAGTTTTGTTCTTTGCATCAATTTCTAATTTTTTTACATAAGAATATTTCATAACTTTTAAGTTTTTACGTTCTCTTGCAGTATTTAAGAATGCTGTAGCAGAACTTACTCGCCTTCCCTTGTGAATTGCACCTCTGATTTTTCCAACACCCAATTGCGTGGGACCATTTAAGTCATCTAAGTATGTCAATCCCAATTCTTTGTAAGCGTCAGTCAGTCTCTCAGCGATGTCTCCGTGCGTAAAGTTCAGTTGATCCACAACAAACTCTCCTTCAGTGCCGTGTTCTTTTCTAAGTTCTGGATTGTTAAGAATGAAAGGGTCGACCATTTTCTCACTCTTTTTGAAGTATTCTCTCAAGGTCGGCCAGTCCCAGCCATCGTCCTCCGACATATGCCAAGGTGCGTAGTCTCCTGCACTGCCTCGCATGTGAAGATGTCCGTTGATGGAGCTTGTGCCTCCGAGACCCTTGCCTCGCGGCCAGTACGCGCGCTTGTCGAGACCTCCTCCGACGATATTATCTTCTTGTTCTGTATAATATTGATATGCGTTTCGAGTTCTGTGCGTTGCGGTTGCATAATTGGGAATCTGAAAGTGGACAAATATATGATCAGTTAAAACACACACTTTGTTGAAAAGTTAAATCGTATGTTAAAATAATATACTACTCACGATGCTCTCCATGGGGGGATCTCCACCAGCTTCGATCAGTAGAATTTTCCACTCCTCAACTTCAGACAGTCTGTTCGCCAGTAAGGAACCAGCCGTACCAGCGCCGACGATGATGAAGTCAAACGTGTCTCCACCTGCAATGCAAATGTAAAGAGATATCATTAAATAAGTCGTAAAACGTTACCATGCTTCTGTTTATGAACCGATCTCAGTAATATCTGTCGCTAGAGATCTATACATACTGGACAATCCATAAGAGTAGTCGGTGGGCCACTGCTCCGTGATTAGACACTGCGAGGCGAGGAAGTGGGTCACCAGCTGAGTGAAGGCGGTGCCGGCAGCGCCCTGGCTGTAGGCGTGGCACCCCACCGGTAGACACTTCATGCTTTCTGAAAACAGTTCATTATAATTATATTATTATGTTTTCAGTCCATAAAATGTTGTTGCAGGTAGGCAGGCAGTAGGCAGGCAATACCCACTAATTGATTGATTTACTTTTACCTTCGGAATGCCTATATACATAGCACTTCGGAATTTAGTATTGACAACTTGTATTATTGGAACAAAAATATTATTTTGGTATTAGGTAAACAAGTAATTGTATGACATAAAAAGCTATAAAAACGCTTGATGTTTGCCACAAATACGAAGACTACAATTTGTAGTCTTTATTTGTAGTCTACAAATAAAGTCCCATAGATCGATGTGTAGCTTGCAAGCGTGTGGACGGGGCATCAAGTTGGAAAACCCATAATTATTTAATTTAAATAAACCTCTAAAAAACCCATAGTAAAGAATCTAATCAAAGATATTTCAGTCCTTGTCCCAAATTGGGTTTTACCCCACACTTCAAGATATTTTCAGTAAAAACCCATCAGTGTGAGATTATAATAATTCCAGATAAGCAGACAAACGATTGATTACCTTCAAAATAAATCACTATCACAATATGTTTATCAATACATTCATTGAAACAAATCACACAGCTCTGTACAAATATAGATTAAACTAGCTGTTGCCCGCGACTTCGTCCGCGTAGATTAATGACTTCTGACAGAATTAACCAGAATCAATTCAGTGCCCAAGTGAGATTTACCTATTTTGAAAATGATTTATCGTAGTTTCAATAAATAAATAATCCCGCAGGGATCTTACCAGTACAGTGCCCGATCACGTAAGGTTTGAGTAATAAAAACTATTCTATCGACTATTGTTGTACCGAATCTCTCTAGAATAAGTTCAGTGGTTAAGAGTTAGAGAGTTCTGGGGCATTGACGCATAGTTCCCGTTCTCGTGAGACATCTGTGAAAAAACTATCATACGTTACCCAGGTCCCAAATCATCGTTTTACCGAATTTAATTCAAAAAGAATCAATGATTCTAAATTCAATGGCAAAGAAGATTTATACAAATTCTCATTCCCTATTTTATCCCCTTAGGGGTGGAATTTATCAAAATCCTTTCTAAGGAGATACCTATGTCATAGCAACTTTATGCATGCAAAGTCTCAGCACGATCAATTTAAAACCGGCAAAGTATCATACAAACTTTCATCCCCTGTTTTACCCCCTTGGGGGTGGAAATTATCAAAATCCTTTCACAGCTGATGTTTACGTCATAACATCTATCTGCATGCCAAATTACAACCCGATCGGTTTAAAACTGACAAAGTTGCATACAAACTTTCATCCCCTATTTTACCCCCTTGGGGGTGGAAATTATCAAAATCCTTTCACAGTGGATGCTTACGTCATAACATCTATCTGCATGCCAAATTTCAACCCGATCAGTTAAAAACTGACAAAGTTGCATACAAACTTTCATCCCCTTTTTTACCCCCTTGGGGGTGGAAATTATCAAAATCCTTTCTTAGCGGATGCCTACGTCATAACATCTATCTGTATTCCAAATTTTAGCCCAATCTGTCCAGCGGTTTGGGCTGTGCGTTGATAGATCACTATGTCAGTCAGTCAGTCAGTCAATCACCTTTGAATTTTATATATATAGATTATAGATTATAGATTATTAGTATTCCAATGATATCAGTGGTCTTACTTAACTGTTGTTTTATAAGCTGTACCTGTAGCTGATGATAATCCAATTCATTTTCTTGGTACAGTAATTAATAAAATCTAGTATTCACAACTTGCAAACTCACTTGTTTGTAAATGACTTTGTACGGTTATGTACCCGTTAATAAAGTTATATTTTTAATGACGAAAGATCAACTGTCAAGTTTAAAATGATGAAAGTCTAACCAGCGTTTTGGGCACCGGTGATTGACGCTCTAAGGGTTAACAAACAAACAATGTAATGTTTTCTTTTTATGATATTATTATAGACTCACCCCTATTACATGGGGCTCATAACATAAATAGTGAAAAGTGGGTGTTACATTGTACAGTGGCATAATGTACACCTCTGCCTACCCCTTCGGGGATAAAAGGCGTGATGTTATGTTTGTATTATTTTAGATGAATAATAATACCTAAGGAAACGGTGTAATAATTGGTATAAATATAAAGTCTATAGCTGACAAAATGAAGGGCCAAGTTCAAGAAAATTTCCGGTACATAAAGTCAAAAGCCTACGATTAAAGGCCATTTTAATTGAAGTACCGAATTCAAGTCCTATATTCTCCGCTTTATTTCTGCAAAATTAAAGCTTAATATGCAAATGAACTGGTATTTTGTCTTCTCTGAATTTCCTAGGATTTGCACTAAGACTGTCAAAAGCATTTGATGGAAATTCCTTTAAAACTTGATTTCCTAATTTAACAGGTTTAAATTAAAAGCCAGCCAGCTTTAACAATCAAATATGGGTTAATTTCTATCAACAATAAATATATGTCTAAGAAAATACTCATTTAAATATACTATATCAAATACACTATATCAACGCGTGTAACTCATCACTAATTTTAATTAACTTTTAGCTTGCAGTACTGACATAACAAAGCACATATATACTTTCCCTTGAATCAAAATATTACTATTAAATAATAAAATGCAAATTAAATCACTTACATTTATAGTTATCCAACACAAAATTACTGCCACCAGACTCGCATTCGTTCCCGACCGCGGCCCAACTAACTAATTTATCGAATTATGAAAACATCATTATCAATCGCTTATATGCCCGATAATAGTGTTTTCCCAAATCCACGTATTACAAATAAAGTGCAAACTTCTGTCATTCGTCTGTCTGTTTGTTTGTTTTATTTAATTCAAGAGGTATGCCATAAATTAGTAAATAAACCTAATGTAGTGTCAATTGACGATCGATGCGCTATTAAAGGTACTGCTACACATGCTAATTTCATGCACGAAAGCATGCTATTGAGCACTTGTCACTTAGTAGCATGTGTGTCAGAATGTTACTTAAATTAGCACGGTCATGTGTAACAGTACCTTTCAATTCAAAGAGAATAAACTATAGGCACAATAAAGTTGCCTGCATGACTTCTTAAGCAGTGTTTTTTAAGGGGGGAAAATAATCGAATGACTTCTCGCGCCCGGGTAAGGCGAGAGAGAGTTCCTACTCTTCAAGCCCCGGTAACCTTTTACGTTCTTCGCGGCTCTATAACGGCATCAGCCCTATTGGGCCCCACCTGTGGTGGCCGGAGACCGTCTCGCAATCCCCGACGCCCGGAGTATCCTTCGCGAAGACTGGGTTGTGAGAAGACAGTGCTTAAGCAGCGTTGGGATTGAAAATAGTTAATTTCCAACAATGGGTTAGAAAGATGCGATTAGTTGGAAGGCAACCTCTGGAGCCTCAGGTAAGCTCACTTACGAAGCACACAGACGTACCGATTTAATTGGATGGTCGGTACGTAGCGTCCGACCAGTAATAATGATAATTATATCGGACCAACCGCTGTACACATGTTCCAATTTAATCGTAATCGAGCGGTGGGGTCCAAGCAAATCGGAACGTCTGTAAGTAGTTTTACACTGCGACGCGACGAAAGCGTTGTTCCACACTGCACACTCCCTTAACACTGAACACAAGACAGTTTGCCATTAATACTGAGTAACTTTTAATCTATTTTCAAAGCTTAGTTACTTACTTAAGTATACATAGGTTCTTAAACAAATATTGAACTGGAATACAATGCTTTCACGCTAATTGTTACTCTACTTAATTAGATTACAGTGTGGTTTCGTTTGCAGTTACTTTCCGTGTATCGTAATGACGGAACAATTTTCCGGGATATCTATTATCTTTTGTATATATATTTATAACATCAGAATAATTACCTCATTGGCTACGATGCGATGCCAACTCAGGATTTAAGGTCAATGACCTTAAATCTTGAGTAGAACAAATTGTTTTTCGATCCTCAAAGTATGCAAATGGCAATATGGTCTATCCCTTGACACTTTTTTTAACTATCTTGGATTGTTTTCTTCCTCATCGAAACATTAAAAACCCAACCCTTGTACAGTCTCTAGTTACACTGCAATCTACAAAATGAAAAATTCCAATAGTTAAATAAATATAATAATATTATGAAAATATTACTTTTGAAATACAAGTGGCGTCGCGTATTATCACAGTAGCGGCCGATAACAATTGTTATCAATTAATATCGAGTTATCTAAGGACACGTCGTCTTTACTAATCTACAAATGCCTAATTATATAATGCAATTACATTATCTACTAATTTACTCTTAATTAACGAAAATTACACTTATTGCAACAAACATACAAACAATTATGGTAGTTGCCAGGGAATGAAAATTAAAAATCTAATAAGTCCGTCAGTTAGATAATAAAAAAATATTAGACACTACTAATATTTAGATAAACTGGAGTTAAATTTAGGAATGGGAGGTCGTGACGTCACAGCGTGCTACAAAATGTACGCTGTGACGTCACACATTATTTTGAAATTAATATATCGTCTACTGAGAGAAAAGAAAAGATACGTGTCCAATGTTTTAAATTAATCTACCAGACGGACATTAAAATTAACTTTAGGAAACTACCCTATTCACGAAAGGACAAATAAACAGAGGGGTACCTATAGGTACAATAATGTACCTAACACACACTTTTCACTCGTAGGTACTTAATAATTAATATTTACTGCGCACAATCCAAGATTCTGTAGGTGTGTGGGAGACATTTTCAATAGAATGAAAAAATCAAAATTAAAGGATGAAGGTCATATGGAAAATACGACAGAGAAATTTCCAAAGAAGGGTGATATTATTAGTCTATTTGTAAGCCAGACATACAGTCAGCAAAGACACATCTACATACATAAAATAGCATGCTAGAAGGCGTTCTATTGAGCGTGTTCAAATTTTCAAAAATCGAACGGCTTTCGATTCCTAACCATCCCTGAATAAGTGCTCAATTAGGTACGTTGGTTAATCAAAAATAAATTATTTCGACTGTTCAATACAATAAAATATTAAAAAATAATCACACTTTCATTAATTGATTTTATGATCAACTTAATTTTAGTATTTTCCATGCTGTTTGACACTAAAAAAACGTGACGTCACAATACACAATCTCATACAATACCTATTTATAGAAAACTGCAGTTTTTTACTAGATGGCAAGTACCCAATTGAAGCATATTTACGTGTTTGAAATTAGCATGTGTATCAGTACCATATGTGTATGTGTATGTGTATCATATCATACCTTCATGTATGATATGCCAAGTACCCACGTTTACCTTTCCTAATTGTTATCTTATCAGGAATGAGGGCGTAAACAAGGAGAGGGTAGCTATATTGTCTCATTCCCATACAACTCCTGTATAACATTATTCGTATTGTTTTTATATAAATATCTGAGGATGAAATAAATGTATACTGGATGTGTGTTTAAATATATCCCGTTTTATGAGTGGTAAAAATCTTTTTGGGTTATGGTTTTAAAATTATTCGGTAATGCAGTGTCGATGACTGCCTCGTTGGCCGAGTGGTCGCAAGTGCGACTGCCGGGCAAGGGGTCTCAGGTTCGATTCCCAGGTCAGGCAAAGTATTACTGGGTTTAAAAAAATCTCAGTAGTAGCACGGAGTCTGGAAATGTGCCCGGTATATGGCAATAGGTTCACCCCCTATTACATGGGACTCATAACATAAATAGTGAAAAGTGCAATGTAACATTGTACAGTGGCATTAAGTGCCGTAATGTGCACCTCTGCCTACCCCTTCGGGGATAAAAGGCGTAATGTTAAACATAACGATATTTCTCAAGAAGAAATATTTTTTAAGATTTTCAGTTTATGACATCACGTTTGCTGTTTAACAAACATGACTTACGCATTCGTTTAACGGTTTAAGTAAGCTCAGCTGAACCATTTATTAAGCAACCGAGGGTTGACATCAACCTAGAATACCTAGATCAATCCAACGATTGGCTGGATATTAAAGCAATTAGCCTTAGGACGAAACAGTTCGTTCCTGATAGCTAGACACTGATTGCTCTCCGGTAACCACTTTGATCACATATAGTGACATTCGACGTTCAACACTGATTAGAGCTGAGACTAGGTCCCACGTTGGGTGCCATTTCAGATTGAACGATCGTCCTGATATACTGGCTCAAGGCTCAACATAATGACAAGCCATTTAGGTATCTTTAACATGCTAAGCCAATTTAGTACTCAGAATTAAGTCTTTGAAATACGGGCAGTTCGTGATCTCATTATAAGACGTTTCTGAAAAAATAAACCACAGTTTGAAATACTCAGTTAACCTCTTTGGGTCTCACTTTCTCAGATTAATGTGAATAACAAAATGTTTACTGTCCTCTTACAAGATAATGAAGCATGAAGGCAATTACGATACCGGTCAATTAGCCTGCTGGCTGTAGTGTGCGTTACCTCCGTACCATTACAGATGCATACTGTGGCTTAATTGACCGCTCTGATCGTATGTCGATATCAGCTGCACGTGGGGTGGGAAGGGATAGAAATAAGGCGTTGGTATCGTTCAAAGTCAGAGCATTTATTCCGTCCGTCTATCAGAATGTGTAAAAAGTAGAAACGTAGTACACAGGTACTTTAGATTATTTAGCCCAATTTCAAAAGTCAAACCTATCCTATTATCACACACCGAACACAATAATTCGCAGGTCATTAAGAATACGGCGAAGTTGAATATCGACCAATGTTCATGAGTCTCACAGGGGGGACGAGAACCACAAAAATAGTTTTTAAAACCAAGTAGGTACCAAAAATAGGCCCTTTGAGAACTTAAACTCTAAGTCAATAAAACTTACGCCAGAAATATAAGTATATTCAGTAGAAATCAGATGCAGATTCAGTGCAGTGTCATGTGTAATGCATAAATCAGGGCTCGATAGTCTCGATACACGTCACAGTACAGGTGCTCGATGTGCTCGTGCTCGAGCACAGATTCATGTAGCTCGTGTTAGGGCGGCTCCACACGGCCTGATGTATTGGTGCTAGATTAACGACTGATAGTACCGACTCATCACTTGCATCTATATATATAAAATTCAAAGGTGATTGACTGACTGACTGACTGACATAGTGATCTATCAACGCACAGCCCAAACCGCTGGACAGATTGGGCTAAAATTTGGAATACAGATAGATGTTATGACGTAGGCATCCGCTAAGAAAGGATTTGATAATTTCCACCCCAAGGGGGTAAAAAATGAAAGTTTGTATGCAACTTTGTCAGTTTTTTAACTGATCGGTTGAAATTTGGCATGCAGATAGATGTTATGACGTAAGCATCCACTGTGAAAGGATTTTGATAATTTCCACCCCCAAGGGGGTAAAATAGGGGATGAAAGTTTGTATGCAACTTTGTCAGTTTTAAACCGATCGGGTTGTAATTTGGCATGCAGATAGATGTTATGACGTAAACATCAGCTGTGAAAGGATTTTGATAATTTCCACCCCCAAGGGGGTAAAACAGGGGATGAAAGTTTGTATGATACTTTGCCGGTTTTAAATTGATCGTGCTGAGACTTTGCATGCATAAAGTTGCTATGACATAGGTATCTCCTTAGAAAGGATTTTGATAAATTCCACCCCTAAGGGGATAAAATAGGGAATGAGAATTTGTATAAATCTTCTTTGCCATTGAATTTAGAATCATTGATTCTTTTTGAATTAAATTCGGTAAAACGATGATTTGGGACCTGGGTAACGTATGATAGTTTTTTCACAGATGTCTCACGAGAACGGGAACTATGCGTCAATGCCCCAGAACTCTCTAACTCTTAACCACTGAACTTATTCTAGAGAGATTCGGTACAACAATAGTCGATAGAATAGTTTTTATTACTCAAACCTTACGTGATCGGGCACTGTACTGGTAAGATCCCTGCGGGATTATTTATTTATTGAAACTACGATAAATCATTTTCAAAATAGGTAAATCTCACTTGGGCACTGAATTGATTCTGGTTAATTCTGTCAGAAGTCATTAATCTACGCGGACGAAGTCGCGGGCAACAGCTAGTTTGTGATAAATGTCTAGAACATTAATTTGTAGTTGTAATCTTAACACATTGGATGCCGTGTCGGACAATGATGTCCGATGTTAGCGGAGGACTAGCCTTTAACAGTTTTTGTCGGCAGTTAAAGGCTTAATTAAAAAAAATAGCTCTTAATGGGTTCGGTTCGTCGTTCAATCATCTAAATTCATAGAGACTAGGTTCTGCCAGCGGCTTTGCCTGCGGTCCCGTGGGATAATATTTAGCCTATGTGTAATTCCAGACCATAATCAACCTGAGCATACGTACTCAAGGAGCCATCAGACCACCACGGATGGGGCCCAATAGGGCTGATGCCGATACGAAGCCACGGAGGGCTTAACGGGTTACCGGGGATCCGGCTCGAAGTGTAGGAGTAAAAACGGGGTGATTTTTATTCAGTAAGAGTCTTGACACTCCCTCCCGCCTCACCCGGGCGGGAGAAGTCATTCGATGATTATCCCGCTCAAAAAAAGACCATAATCTACCCCTGTACCCTGTTCCACGATCCCTTCAGCAGTTTTGACGCGAAAGAGTAACAAACAAACATAGGTACAAGCTCGCATTTATAATATTAGTAGGATTACTTTACATTACTTACAATAAAAGTTTAAATTAAGTGACAATTTCTTGTTCAATGTGTGGTTTATGCGCCTACATAAATAAAGAAGTGTAACGGAATGTTCAATTGTATTCACAGTCTTCTTGTAAATATGACAACATTTACCAACACCTGGCATCCTGAACCCTGCCCTAAGATATTGCATCATCCTGTACATAACAAATGCATAAAGCAGTGTGCACACTGAACATGATCTGCCTTTATATTTATGAGGTACCAACACGTACACACAGTCTAGTAGGTACAAGTACAAGTCTAGTAGGTATTCGTTTCTTAAAGCGATCGAAGAAAATCCAACAGTTTCCACACTGCCCAAACCGGGAATACAAACCCAAACCCTGCTTGACTCAAGCAACGACATAATTGGTTAAAAACAAAATATTTAAAACAGATTAAGCCTTTTTCTTTAATAAACTGAGTATTAAATTAAAGTCTATATCCGTTCAGTATCTATATAATTTTAGAGCGAAATAAAAATAAACATGCATCATAATAAACATTTACATATTATAAATCATCGAAATCAGTGTCGAGTAGCGTTAATAGGCACCTGACTAGGTAGGTATAGCTAGGTAAATACCTACCTACCTATGTCTCGTAGCTACGATTCAGTGCAGCTACACTGACGAACAATTTATTAATATTGATAAAGGTACAAAGATCTCGGTTGTTGCGCTGCTGTGTTCATTCATGTCTGAAGCAAATACCTACGTCTGCTGTTAAATTGACGTATTATTTGCATTACCTATTAGTTAGGTATCTCCTTGATTCTTTTCATAAGTGATAGATATTATAATTTATCTATCTTTATTTAGTAAATAAATATTATAAGTTTAGTAAAGCTGTTAAACCACGTACAAGTTAAATAAAAATTTCTGAGGATCTAATCTTTCATCTATCGAATAATTTAAATCACGAATAAACTTAAATTAAAACTAAGTTTGTTGTAGTAAAGTAACGTTATGAGATTAGCTGCCATTTATAGACCACTAACTTTAACTAATAAGTTTAGTTTATAAACTTTACTTACCCATTACTTTGGTGTATCGTTGCTGTGTAAAATCCTTTGAGATCTGACCTGCTAAACCACATGATTTATTTCAATTAATAAAAGCTCACTGAACTTTAAAGCAATAACCACACGTCTTCAAAGGTCGATAAGTTTAGGAAACTTAACATATTTGTTAGTTTCATGTTTGTAATTACTTACTTTAAATTAAATACAATTTTGTTGAAGTAGAATTAATGCATTAACATAAAATAATTTGTGAGAAAAATAATTATCACTAACATTGGGAATAACAAAACGTTTTGTATCTACAAAAACATCAACAACAATCAGCTGCAACTGTCATTTCATTTGTCAGTCAGTCAAGTTGTCAACACACGAGTTGCCGGTTGTTGATTATTTGGTGCATGGTATCTTGGATTAAATCGAATTTATAACATAAAATATATCTAAGTAATATTCATAAAGATGTTAGTGAAGAAGCTATTCACTCTGGTGTTCATAAACAAAGAAGATCAAATATTATTGGGTCTAAAGAAGCGAGGTTTCGGTGTAAAGAAATGGAATGGTTTCGGCGGGAAAGTGGAGCCTAACGAAACTATATTGGAAGCAGCAGCAAGAGAATTAAATGAGGAATGTTGCGTGAGCGTTAGACCCAGTGACTTGAAGAATATCGCACATCTAGAGTTCACTTTTGAAGGGCAGCCTATGTTAATGGATGTGCGAGTATTTTCCACGAATGTGTTTGAAGGAAATCCTAAGGAAACTGAAGAAATGGTACCCAAATGGTTCAAAAATACCGAAGTTCCCTTCGACGACATGTGGCCTGACGACAGAATATGGTTCCCATACATGCTGCAGGGCAAGAAGTTCTTTGGTAAATTCCACTATGAGGGCTTCGATAAAATTCTCAATTATAAAATCGAGGAAATAAATTGCATGAAGACGTTTTATGCTGGTAGAAAATCAACATAATGTAATCAATGTTATGAACATTGACTTTTATTATTACTTTTTTCATTTTATTTTAATAAGCTAACAACTTTGAGGTTTTTATGATATTACTTTTTAAGGCTATGAAGCTGTTTGTGTTATACTATCATGTGATTGTTATTATGTGTATGTTAATAATTGTTAGAGTATGACAATTCCTATGACTATGTGAAACATAGCTTCTGGCATTTCAGTACTGATGGAATTTATCTTGAGATTAATTTCATGTAACAATTTAGTAAGTACTTAGATTTTAAGTTTAAGCGGGTACTCTTTACTGATATAAGTTGACAAAGCCAATGTATTAGATATTAAAATTATGTGATCTAGAAATTAAAATTAGTTAGAATCTCAAATAGACCACCATTACAATTAATGTCTTATTAATAATAAAAGAATTGTTGTTCATAAGAGATTTTTTTTCACCCCAACGTTGATAAACAAACTAAGGAGCACCTAGGAAGGGGATGAAAGGGACTAACTACGACTACTCTGACACACTCTTACTGACTAGGGAGCAGGAAACACTTTATTCTACAGCTTCCGAACTCATGGCACCCTAGTTCATTAAGAGATCTGCCTGTAATAGCCATATCAAGCAAATGTTTCTAGGAAACAATTTGTTACAACATAGTAGTTGTTCAATAAGCATCTCTTTCATTACAATGTTGCATTTCTTTGAACTCACCAAAAATTATTTATTCATTTGCTACCTACTTTTGTTTAGTTGTTAGTGATAACAACACCCACACTAAGACCTAAATACTCATGCAGTTGTACCTAAATATTGTGCCATCTATATCATTTTACAAAGAAATTGTAGTGAGAACTATACTTGCACAAGTTAAAATTGTGTGGTGTTTGAGTATTTGGACATTAGTCTTCATAATATTTACAGGACTGTTTCAATAAACCGAAAGAATATAAAGTCATATTAACTAAATCTTCATTGAATAAATTCACCTAGATGACCAAGAGTAAAATACGCTATAATGGCTATAACTGTAATAACTCCTGTATTATCAATCAGATGGCACGAAAGAATTTGACTTTGAAGTTCACATACACATCACACCAAGACAGCAGCAATTTGAGGATCATACAAAGTTTTCTTCCGTGGGAACAGGGAACCTGTTACACCTTGCGTGACAACCAGTTACCTACCTAGTCATCGCCCTAAGCATTGTATTTGCATTGTAATATAAATATAGAACACATTTGTAAAAATAGGTTTTATTAATTAAAATTATTACAAACAATGTTAGCACACATGCTTACTCTTCTATTTGATTACGGACAAGTGATCTACACTTGTAAATACTTAGTTAATTTAATGTAATGATTATGTACAATTCAACAATTACTGACAGCCAAATAAATACCGAAACTAAATAACATTTTTGGTTATAATTTAGTAGTTATTGGTAATACCCCTCCCCTTGACATTTTAACATGTAAAATCTAATTCAAGTATTTCCCTTATAAAAGAAGTTGGGTCTTTTACCATCATAATTCTTTTTTTTTTTCTTCCGGTTCAATTTTGTCGACTAAACAGCCTGTGTTGGGTAGTGAGTGGCGTAATCACCCATCTTTGTGGTGGTATAATTGTTAGACATTTTGACAACATTCTCTTCTTCTTTTATTCCTTTTTGCTATATACAGAAATAAAATAACTAAGAAGTGACACTGAAAATGAAGTTACAAAATATGTTATTAGCTCCTAATACAATTACGTTATATGGCAGTGATTACTTCTGTATTTTCCTTACATTAGAATCTGTATAAAAATGGGAATGTTAACTAGACTATTCCAGAATGACTCATTAAGTTAGTGACGTTTACCCTGCTTACTCTAACCTCTGACATAAAACATTTCAAAAAGTCTGTAAATTGGTTACCCCTTAACATATGTTCACAAAAATTTATAAGAGGTATTTTTAGAGAGTAAACAGGACTCCTTACATTAATGTTTTTACTTAGAAACTAACACTTTTTATTACATAAAAATAACAACAGATATCACCATTGACAATAAGTTTGGAATAATTTTCCATACAATATTAATAAAAGCACTTTCAGACATTGTGAAACTCACAATAAGATGTTATTGCTTCATTTATCAAGTACTTCAGGCTGTTCACTAGACCATCACAACATTTAGTCCATCTTGATCGCATCCCACACTATTTGATTGTCTTTGTGGCTGAATACAGAATCCCATGGCATGTTCCTCCTGAACAATCATTGAGCCTTTTCTTCTGTGCCGTCTCCCTCTGCCAGAGCTGTTCTGGCGAGGTTGCGAGCTAATGCCAGGCGGAGGAGATCAGCCTTCTCTCCATCCAAGCTAGAGGAACGAAGCTCTAGGCACAACATGATTTCATATGTGTCATTTGAAGTAAACACTGGCTCGTCAGATTCTAGAAGTGGCAGAGTATCTAACAGTAGTGTTTCCCAGAAGCTGTAAACAGATAAAACTTTATTACACTTAGGTTCTGAATTGGACCCAGTATCTTTTTGTTGCTTTTTTTTCTATGTATTTATATTTATAGTTAAATTAATTGTTAGTAGCATTGTTAACAAATACTTACTATTCTGGTGCAATTTTCGATGTAATCAAAGAGACTAGTAACTGAGCAGCTTTCTTGAATTCTTTAGTTTTGTACAGTCTGTGGAAATCACAGTATTTACCTGTAATGAAAAAGTACTATTTAATATTTCAAAAATAAAAGAATAGTTTTGACACAGGCTCAGTTCTAGCAGCTAGTTTAATACATAATTATATAAGTTATGTATTACACTAGCTGCTAGAACTGAGGCGGACGCTCAATGTGATGTCGGAATACATTGACTTATTTTATTGTACACTGAACGAATTCAGAAGAGCCTGTTACTGTACCTGTACCCATCTGTGACTTAGCCTAAGGAATATGTTTGTTACCATAGTTATAAATGTTGTAGTACCAAATTTTAAAATTAGACTTTGTAATTTAATTCTATTAATATTGGCATACACTGTTGCATTAGATATTAGTTCCTGTTATGATAGTAGTATGTATATAGTTTATAAATAAAAATAAAAAATAAAAAAAAAGTTACCTAAGAATAGTAGTGCATCAGACAGTAACATAGCGGAGCCGGCAGTGAGCAGGAGGTCCTGCGCGGGCAGTACGGCGTGCTGCGTGTAGTGCGCGAGCGCGGCGTGCGCGGCGCGGGCCGTGGCGGCGCTGCTGCGGCCGCGCATGGCCCAGCACAGCGCGCCGCCCGCGCGCCCCGCCGACTGGTGCCGCGCGCACATGCAGCGACATACTGACTGCGCTGGAATGATCAACATATCACTTGTGAAGATTAATATGTCTCAATTTCTGATATTTATATTTGTTAGATGCTACGAATGTGAGGCTTTGTAAGGAAAATATACTTTATTATTTTGCGAATGGGAAAAATCATTGTGCTCAGAAGATAATACCAAGCACATAAAGTTAAATATAAATTACTGTGTATGATAAAGGAAGAGTAGTTTAGTACAGATCTTATTGTTTGAACTTACCAACACCAATGAGTTCATACTTCTTAGCTTCAGCAATGATCTTCATAGCTTTAGCTTCTGTATCCACTGGCATTCTCTCCAGAATAAGCTCTGCTCTTCTCAGCCCCTCTGGGGGACAGGAGGCGAGATAGGAGAGGCCGACAGACCAGAGGGACTTGTGTTCCATGAGGAGACAACCATACTCTAAGATGAGACTGTCTCGGAGGCGTGAGGTTACGCTGGAAATAGATGAAATCGTAATTATTGCAATAACACAAATGGTTTATTTTTAGTAAAGAATTCTTACTGTATACAAATAAAAAAATCATTGTAACATAATGTATGAACAAAAGAAATAAGTTCCTCACTTAGTCTGGTGTTTATCCATAATGGTGAGTTTGCCACAGTGAAACAGTATGTCAGTGAGATGTGTCGCAAACCAGCCATTATCTGATATCTGTTGGATTTCATGGATCACCTGTAAACATAAAATTTTTATTCACCTTGTTACTTAGCAGTAGATAGATAATATTTCACCTGAGTTTGTACTTCTTTATCATAGTATTGCAGTTACCTGATGCAGATCGCCTTCTAGCAGCGCCCGCACCATGTCGTCGAGGTGCGAGCGTCCGGCGGGCTGCATGCCGGCGCAGGCGGCGGCCGCGGCCCCGAGCTCGTGGCGGCGCGACCACGGCGCCGTGAACATCACCCACCCACCCAGGATGTCAAACCATGAAGAATACTTGCTCCTTATCGATTCGAATGCTGAATAGTCGCCCATTATTATCTAGAAGTAAACATGGTAAGTAGTAGAAAGAAGCAAGAAGTGTAAATCATAGTTTCTTCAGTTGTAGTTTTGATTTTGTCAGTTTTTCTTGGTAAATCGAAACCTTGCCCGATTTATTAACTAGATAGTTATAACTTAAATTTTGTTTCAACACCAAATCCAATAGAACTAATACTTTTGTATTATAACATCAAAAAAGAAAAAAGACAATTGTGGTAATATATTTGTATTGTAACTTTCGTGAGACATAATAAATAAATTATTTTGTTTTCATAGCCATACTAACTGTAAGTAGCATACTCGTTACGATTACATTCAACGTAATCAAACAAACTCGTACTAAGGAGATGGCTGGATGAAAACGCTTATGAAAAGGATTGGCCACAGAAAGCTTTATGAAGAGACAAGTGGAAGGAGGATAGGGAGGCCTTTGCCCTGCAGTGGGACGCTCATGGCTAAAAATAAATAAATAAAGACGAAAGTCTCAAACACGGTGCCTGCAATGTACACTTACAATTTGAAATAATACTTCCACACAAATCATCCCATAGAAATGTTTGATGCCATAAGATATCTAAATTACATTGGAATCAATAGATCAATATTGTATTTATTTTAGTACCATTGGCCGTGGGAAGAGCCGTGTAAGTAATCGTAACAGTTCATAGCATAGTTTCAAGCCATGCTAGAGCATTGAGTTCCTCGTCAAATTATTATGTGAGTAAGCCAAAAACATAATAATTAATTGTGGTAATAGTTTCAGTCTCATGGTTCATATTTACCTTCATGATAAGTTCTAGTTTGGGTTGTGAGGCCAGTACTCTACTGCCGAGTTTGGACCGGCACTCAGCTTGCCAGTGCTTCCAGGATATTGTGAACTCCCCAGTTGATATACCTCCATAAACCTGCAATCAAGACAGATCATTCTTTAAATTACCTCATTTATTTGCCATAACTTGTAAGATTAAATTAAAACTCATAAAATTCCAGAGTATTTTTCCAATTAGACTAAATAAATCATAAGACTAACTTACACTGTAAACCGGCATGCTCCTCAGAGAGTTATCAACCAACTTGAACTCATTGCTCTCTCCAGCTGAGTGTAGTTTGAGCAGTGCTCTAGCCACATCCACCCTGCCCTGCACCACCATACCCACAACGGTGTCCCAGTAGTCCTCATGCTCCTCGGATCCTCTCTCACAAGCCCCCAGCAACTGGGCAGCAGTCTGCTCATGACAAGGGAAGTGAAACCGAACCCACTCCAGCAAATATGGCAACACTATGTCTCCGGGTATATTGTCTATGTACAGAATCTCACACAAATGCCATATACATTCAATGGAGTAGAAGATGGTGATGTAGGATAGTAAATTGTTCTTTTCAATGCCTTCAGCCTTTGTAGCAGCCTCTTGGAGGTTTTCTAAGCAGACTCTAATGATTGATCGGAACTGCCGAGATAATTTGAGGAATTCCACTTGGTTGTCGGAAACTTTAGCAGCCTCGGCAGCTTTTTGAAGGGAGAGGTATGTTCCATTAGATTCATTTACAAGTTTCCTAAGGATTGGTGTGAACAGCAGAATGTCTTGTTTTATATTCATCAATTTGCTGTCTGCAGCATCTGTAGGCGTCTTGTTCACAGTTTGGCTTCGAGGATATATTGTGAACTTGTTTCCTCGACCCCACGCACAGCCAACATGTTTTTGAAAACATTTGTCAGGAAGAATCTGTAAACGAAATAGTTTCAGTTTAAGAGAACAAATATTTTGCATTTAATTAGTTTATAATGTATTCGAAATATTTAGGAAATTTATTGTTTTGAGCATGAGCAAAGATTAGGCGGCACCACATACATTTACGACAGTAAACAATACGAATGCGATATTTTAGTTACAAAAAAACTAACAGGGAGTATTTACTGAATTGAGTCAATTTTTTACCATGATATAGGAACTTTTCCACTTAGTTTTTTTTATGTTTAAAGACTAATTCAAGAACAAACATAACCTATTTCTGTAGTATATCATTTCAAAAAGTATACTCACAAATGTCTTAGCTGTGTCTCCTGTTTTTCCTCGTGAAGAGTCTACAGCAAAACTTGAGGTATTCATGTTTTAACACTCTTATTATTGTATAAACTTCAAGTTCAAATCTTTGTATTTATCGAAGAAACCGTTTCATTTCATGTTTCAGAAACTGGAGAACCACAGATAATCTTTGTTGAGTTAATTTTCTTTTTCTTTTACAATCTGTGGTACTAAAAGTGTTGCCAGTTAAAAAACTAGTGTAGTGAAAGTAGAGATAAAAACCGTAAAATAGTGCAGTTGACGACGTCTTGTAAAATGAACATTAATTAGTAATTTACATTATTTACTAAGACGTTAGCAAAAGGTACCAAACCACCAATGGAAAATAGAAAGATACCTACCCGTTTTATACCGTTGTATTAGCGCTAGTGTTGTAAACATCTATATTTACTATTTAAATTAAAAAAAAACTATCAACATAGTTTACGTCCTATAGTTGTTAATTGAGATACTTTCAATGTTGTGTTTGTATATTTATAAATATAACTATTAAATATTTATCTCGTACTTCTAATTAAAACTGAAAACCTGTAAAGGTAATTTTTGATACAATATTTATGTCAATTATATACTATTCAAATAAAATTATGACCGGATGACCTGTTGGAGGACATGTTGATTTTGTCACGAATAAAAACGATAATTGTCAATTCGTCAAAAACTGTTTTGTTTAGACGAAAAATTAACAAAATTCTACAGTAAATCGTGTGATACCGTGTTGTGTAAAGTTAGAACAGTATAATGTGTGATATATATTTACAAAAATAAGTTTGACTGAGGGATAAACATTCGTTACAACGTCAATCCTTGTTATTTGGTAAGTTTTTGATTTGATATTGCATCAATGTTTGGCCGTTACTAACTTTCTATGTAATGCTGACTGTGTGACTGTGCTATGTAGACCTTCACCGCTTCAGCTCAGCCGTAAACCGTAGTTAGTGTACGTAGCGAGACTGGGCTGACGTAGCGCGCCGCGTAGTTGTCGTATCGTATTTAGGCCGCGATTACCAACTTTATCGGATGTCTGTGTTGTGTATTTGCGAATTGGGTGGTTGTTTTGTGACGTCACGTGTATGCAAGTTGGATATTCTTTGTGGTAACGTTGCCTTTGATATGATAAACATTATCTACAGATGATAGCAGTATCAACTGGAGACCAGTTGATTCCGTTATTCGTGTGCACACCGTACGTTTCGTACGAAAAAAGTGATCATTTAAAGTGTATAGTGTAGTTGCTATAGCAGTTCTTTCAATATTGTGTAAGTTATTTTTTTGTTTTTGTTCGCATAACCTTAGTTTTTACGGCTTCTTGTTAGAGGCCTTGCTAACAACCTTGTCCCAGCAGCTATTTACTTTACAGTTATGATTTATTCCACTCACAATTAATGCTTGATCACATTAAATGTTCCACTCCATTACTATCTTGTAACCACAAATATTAACTACAGTTAAATTGGACCTGTGTCTAATAAGAATGCAACTTAGGTGTACTTTATTATGGAACCTTTAAAAAATATTATGGCTAAATAATTGTGTAGTTACTTGCTTTTAAATAAGAACTCTGTAGAAGTAGAATATAAACAAAGCTAAAACAGCTGATTTTCATGTTATTATATTATTTTTCCTGTACACACTAAAATCACATGACTTCCATGCGGAGGTAAAATAGACTTGCCGGCTTAGTCCACCTAGTATAATCAACCAGTCTATACCAGTTAAATCAACATTGTGAAAGTTAAATAATGTGAAAACATTCAGTGATTGAAATTTTAGAAATTAAATTTTGATATACATACATTCATTTTATTTATTACAAAATCAATATCTACAAAGGTATCAGGTTTAATTTATAATGATTTGTAATTGTTTACCTGTTATCATTTTATACTAATTACTATAAAATAGTTTTGCCTTTTGATGAGCATTATCTTCCTCGGAAAAAGTGTAGACTATAATGAATTAGGTATAACATTCCTGATTGATGTTAAATGAATGCTGATAGCCAAAAGACCCTGAAACCTCACAGTTTTGCAAATCCCAGGTCTTTGTGACGTGGAGATTGTGACTGATAACATAATTTGTATAGGCATTTGTTTTAGATGTCATTGTTATAAGCTCTTCCAACCTCTACTGTGGTTTATTCATTACCTACAATACAACTAAATAATATGTACTAAAATAATGATATGTCCTGCGGATTTGTAATACACAGAATATACCTAGATCATTGAATGCTTATAAAACCAGTCCATATGATAAGCATGCTTAACTATTTTTATCATAAAATTGTTGTCTTGTATATGGAATTACCATTAGGCATTAGTGCTTAAAATTATTATAATTGTATTCCACATCAATGATAGGTAAAACCTCTGCAAAGCTTTGGAAATTCCTGTACCAGACACTAAATTACAATAGACTTGCCATTAACAACTAACTTAATCATTTTTCAAAGACTGAGTGGAATAGTATTAAAAAGTAAATTACAATTAATTATAAACACTTATTTATTAAGATGAAACTCAGGATAATGCCAAATTGAGAATAAAAACAAATAGCTCATAGACACAGTGTTTTGTACAATTCTGAATAGTTATATTGTTCATTATTTTAACTTTTGTTACTGTCACAAAGTTATTAATAAGAGTTATTAATTCCTTCAGAAGACATAGTTCCTTATCACAATTAGTTACTTAATTAAGGAACCTATTACTAATAACTTAGGAACCTATTTATAATGCTAACACAGTGTTTCACTGCACGAAAATAGTTAAACACTGTTTTACCTGTTGTTAAAAGCATTGTAAATATTCACAAACAAATTGTGCTATAGGTAAGTAGCAAGAGTATTACGTTCTTTATTTACTTTAATCAAACTAATGCATGCTACACACCTTACAGTCGAACAGTACAGTTAAATCGCAAGGTGTGTACCATGCGTAAGCTTTCATTTACGACATTTTTGTTCACCAACTTTTAGTTCAAAGTTCTATTATCCTTCCGACCCAAACAGGTCAGTTATCTATATTAAAGCGAGTTTCCTCCTAGTAACACGCAAGGTTCTTATTCAATGTCAATCTTTGTCGGTGGGGCAATGTCGCTTCCTTAACACAATCGTCATAGACGCACTGTCTATCTTCAAGCATTATTTTTGCAAGGAAATAAGTATTACATTTAATTTTGACTGCTATTTCCAATGTGTTAAAATACTTTATACTCTGATAGCCTTTCCTTGATTTAAAGAACTTCCGTAAAAAGGTCGGTTACGTGATCGAACTTTAAACACAAACTCCCGGTACTTAAAGTGATTATTAATGACATCCGAAATCCTTGGTAATGAACTGTGGAAGTTGCTTTCAATGTTGTTTTAACGTTCATTGTAATTTACCTACTACAGAAATGTCGCTATGGTCTATTCCAACCGTTTTTGAAACACGCATAGGTAGATAAAATAAGTTTTTTAGAGCAAGAAAAATCTAGTCTTCCAAAGATTATCCGGCATAGAATACTGATAGCAAAGTAAAAGTCAATATTTCACAATCATTTCTAAAATTATGTACAGCTTGGTGTTACTATACGTGTTTTGTAGACGAAGACTTAAAGGCCTTGTTTATTACGAGAAAAACAATAAAAATTATCATGATAGCGAGATGAAATTAGGGAACTGAACTCACAAAATATCAGATAAGCAGCTGACCTGTGATAACTGCGCACAATACCGCGTTTTTGCGTATTATCAGAATTATCTTAAAACTAGACTTGTTGACACACACTTTTTCTTACAAATATTTGGAAAGTTCCTTGTAAACATACTCATTCAGATGTAGCTTCTCAATTTTTCCCAGAATATTGACTATTAGTTATATTTATTTCCATTTCTTTAGGTGATCTTCTCCGTTTACCTGTTATCTAAGCTATTTCATAATGCAAATTTTTCTGACTCCGATGTCATTAATTAAATGTTTATTCTTATATGGCATGACATGACTTCGATGTCTGGGTCCTTAAACGTGAGTCAGTCTCCACGATACTCGTTCGACACCTACATACACTTTCTCTCGTAAAGGCCAGGTACCTCTTTCATAGAAAATCATTCTCAGTCTAAATTATGTTGTTCACCTCTTATCGTAAAGTCGTTATCAACGTTCTTCCTTCGATAACAGTAAATACCTAGTACGTATTATTCATAGATTTGACGACATTGCTGTTTAATTAATGAAGTCGGTAAATATACGATAATGGCTTTCCGTATTCTGTACCAGATTTTTCCTGTATCATCGATTGTAACTAGAAGGAAACCAAGGCGAAATATGCACTATTTCTATCTAATTTTCTGTGCGACGTCCGTTTTCCTATTTCGCACTAGTAAAACTAGATATCTAAATTCCAAAAACTTGGTACAACTAGGTATTTATTACATCTAGAATAGTTGGTTTCGCAGAAGACTTCGTTATTGTCAACGTGAACAGTGGCGTACAGCAATGTGTTTTCAAACAATTGAATCTTCAAACATTCCACAAATTCGTCACGAAGTACAAACAACATGAAAACCGCGAGCAAATCCACGCATCGGCTATAAATGTAGCCACCGCAGTTATTTCCCATGTCGAATTAGATTTACCTATCGGCTAATGCTATGTACAATGGCTAAATTTAGATCGAAGCAACATTAATATTTTGGAACGTTTTCTGCGATCTGCTAATCGCTGTATTTAATATGTTAGAAAGTTTGGTGTGGACTCACTCCGATGACATTTTAAGGTCATTATAAATTTATCGATTTATTTATTCCTCTTTTAGTATACGCACCAAAAAGCCTATGTTGCTTACATCAAATTGGATTCCATTACGGGTACTTCCCCAACTCTTGAACCTAGACCACTAAAGCATAATCGTCTACGCTGCCTCAGTCGCCGACTACCGCAGTATTTCCTAATTAAGTACTAATTAGTTGCCTATACTAAGTCTGGCATTCGCAGCATGGCATCAATTAGCATTAGCACAATAACGTAAGATGCATGCCA